AGATTTCCAGCAGCAGTCTCACTTTGAAGACGGGATGCTGTAAATTTTCCGATCACCTCCCCTCCGCAATTACGTGCTGCCGGAGCAAATCGCGTAGGCCACGGGAGAGACCAGTGATATGTGACAGCCCGCACACTCCAAGAACAAGGTCGTGCGAGTACGCTACTATATTAAGAGGGTTCACGGCACCCGCAGCCAAAGAGTAACAAAACCATCTTTTCCCATAAGTCTCGCAGAGGTCTAAACTAGATCGATGCGTTTACGACATGTAGCCTGGCTTCTGCCTTTTTGCGTTACAAGAGTGTAATACCCGCCAAACTACCTCGTTTCTGTGGTTGCTCTAGCCTATACATGGTACCAAAGTCATCTCTTTATTTTTTGCAGCCTGGCATGACGCCCCGGCGCGAACAACAACGATATAAAGTTACGACGATTGTCATCGCTGTGACAACTCTCTTAGTCAGCTGCGGGGCTCTGTTGTTGTTCCTGATGTGGGCGAGGCATCCCGAGACGACAGTGTACTGCAGCACGGCAGATTGTCTTAGGCACGTCACTGAGCTCAAAGAAGCCATGGATACTAGCGTCGACCCTTGCGACGACTTCTACAGGTACACGTGCGGCTCCTGGAAGCCAAACCACAAGGAGCATTCTATGGTCGCGAGGATGTTCGACCATATGACTAAAATCGCCATTGAGGAGATGGAGGGCCCCGGCGACAAGGCCTTAGTGCCCAAGGCGTTGGACTTCTTCAAAAACTGTGCCCAGCCACGCAATTTGACAGCGGCCGATGTCAGAACATTCGTAGATTTCAAGCAGAACCTCGGTTTCTATTGGCCCGAAAGAAGCAACCAGCCTCCGATGCGCTGTTCTCGTTGCTGAACATGACTATCAACTGGAAGATAAATTTCCTTTTCTCGTTGCGAGCTCTTCCCGCCTACAAGCATAGGCCGCAGACGCTGCACGTAAGTCGCGGGATATTGAACAGAGCATGGGTGGATCCCACGTGGACACCTCAGACGTTTGCTGAAGTCGTCCGTCTGCACTGCCACTTGCTGGGATCCGAAGCGCCGCCCAACGCCTGGGACATCACGGTGCTGAAAACCACCGTAGAGGACATCATAGGCGCCACGCTTGCAACGGCGCCGGAAGCCACGGGCAAATCGAAGTTATTTGCGCTCAAGGAAATCGAGGAGCTGATGCCGAAACGGGCCGACGACTGGCTTAGCAGCCTGAACAGACTGCACAGTCCCCAATTTCACGTGGACTCTCGACAGTCCCGTGATTCTGGAAGACGAAGCGATACTGCAGAACTTCCAAGTGCTGCTAAAGAAGTATGATGAAAAGAAGCAGACGCTCATGGAAGGGCCTCTCGTTCGTACTCATTCGGTCTACCATGTGGCTACTAGCGGGAAAGCCCGAGTTACGACACAATGTCCAGCACGATGTGGGCCTCTACATCTGGAAGCGGGCTTGTCTCACGTACACGGCCGGCAACTTCGGCCTGCTAGTGGCGGCCAAGCACATCTACGCGCGCTACACCAGCACTGTGCGCGGCGAGCTCGAAGATTTTTACCACAGAATCCAGGCAGCCGTGAAACAGCAACTGGAAGACGCCGCGTGGATCGACGACACCACCAAGCACAAGGTGGTCGCCAAGATCGACGAGCTGACGCTGGACGCAGTTCCCGAGGACCTTTTCTTTTCCGAAGACAACCTTGCACGGTTGTACAAGGACTTCCCGGTCATTGAATCGTCATTCATGGACAACTTCATTGCGGTCGCGGCCACATACCGGCACCTCATCGGCGATGACAGCTTCTTCAGCGTCTACTCCAAGGGGTTCGGGGACGGCGCGCCCAGCCGATACAATTACTACTACAACACCGCCTACATTTCGCTGAGCGCCATGGAGCCTCCCATACTCTACTTGAACGGCACCATGGCCATGGCTTACGGCAGCTTCGGCACGCTAATTGCCGAGTCTATGGTGCGCTCGTTCGACAAGCAAGGAGTCCGTATCAACACTAGAGGCGATGAGGAGCTATGGTGGGACTCTGCGGCCTACACGGAACGAGTTAGTTGCGACTTTCTATCGGACACCACGTCTGGCGATCATCGGGAGGCTCGCGTCTCAGCCTTGTTCCCGCTGGCGCCGGCACTCAACGCGTCATTCGCGGCGCACCGCAAGAGCTTCGACGTAGACGAACACGTCCACTGGCGCCTGGAAGGCCTCGACTACAACTGACGACCAGATGTTTTTCCTGACCTACTGCCTCATGACGTGCGCCGTCAACAGCACTGGCGAGTCGTGCAACGTTCCACTGCGACAGCTGGATAAATTCGCCAGCACGTTCCACTGCCAACGAAACTCGCCGATGAACCCATCGAAAAAGTGCACTTTCTTCCAGTAACTAAAACTGCAATTCGTTTAGTACTAAGTTATACGATTCGATCGCTGCACTGTATTGCAATTTTAAAGGTTGTTTTTATGACGTAATTTTATACCAATGATGTAATTTAGCATTTTTTGCCTTTTGGAGAAAGTAATTCACAATACACAAAGGACCATTGATTAGTATTACTGCGCACATGTCACAGTGTAAACAAATCGTTTTACTTGATAGCCCCTTGTAGGCACAGTGTTCGAACTTCATATGTCGAGCATAGAGCCAGCAATTGCTAATTGAACATGGCGAGCTGTGCAAGCTTTTGAATGCATCTACATGCATGGTCTGCGCCAAGAACTGTTGCCACCACTGAGTTGCACTTCGCTGGTTCTCTCCAATGAACTCTTGTTATACGGCATAATCGTGAAGGTAATTCGCACTAACACTGAGCATTCGCTATGCTTTGACCATATTAGTCTATTTATTCAAATGCTTACAAATTGGAAGAACAGTGCAATCGATGTTGGGTTCCAATGTACTAATCTACTATTCTACACGTCGAGCGCAATTTTCGTAGATTTTGTTCCTAAGTATGGAACTAATTGGCAGCATGCTGCTGGAACTAATTGGCAGCATGCTGCAAAAGTGGGATGTGAATGCACTGGTTTCATAGCATTCTCTTTCAAAATACTGAATTTTTCGTAAAAGCATAAATACACTGCATCTCGTCTGACCGACAGCCTACACACAAATACAATCTTTAAAATGAAATTAACCACGAAATGTGAAACATGATGAAACAACAATGATGTTTATTTGCCTGATTTACTATGTCAAAGCCTGCATAGCATGTACAGTCGTGCTCAATAAGAGTTAACAAGCTGTCTATACTCAAAACAGTGCCAATACTGCAAAGTGGCATCTATACTTTCTGAAACATTTTAATGTTTGGCAGTGCCTTTGTTCACGCTTGAGGTCACTTTGGTGCTGCAACTTTGAACTTATTGAACTTTGAACGCATTGAACGAGACTTTTGATTTTGATTGAACGTAGTGAACGAGACAACTTGAACTTATTGAACTTTGAATGTATTGAACGAGACTTTTGATTTTGATTGAACGTATTGAACGAGACAACTTTGAACTTATTGAACTTTGAACGTATTGAACGAGACTGTGCAGGCAGAGTTGCGCAGCACCAGCAATACCAATGCTCTTGTTCATAATTTCCCTTCCTTTATATAAACTTTTTCTCCGATTAAAATAAATGCGGACAGTTGGCACAGAGTCGTGAAAAGCTTAACACTGCGCAGCCCAGTGCCCACTACCACACATTCCCAGTAGGCCAACACGTCCAGATTTGAGATGCGTGGCTTCCCCCTCGGGAACACATGGACAGACTTTTACACTCTAGAGCGGAAGTCGCACGCATGGGTGTGTTGTGGCTACTGTGCATAAGGGGCTTGGCCTGGTGGTGACTATGGCATGCTCACTTGCTTTCTTTTCTCTGCGTGGCTTCCCCCTCGGGAACACATGGACAGACTTTACACTCTAGAGCGGAAGTCGCACGCATGGGTGTGTTGTGGCTACTGTGCATAAGGGGCTTGGCCTGGTGGTGACTATGGCATGCTCACTTGCTTTTTTTCCTCTCGTTGACGCTTTTTTTTCTGCATTTTTTCATTGTGCTTCCTTTTTTTCTCTCTCCTTCTCCTCCTCAAACTTCTTTGTGGGCATTACAGGTGACGATATAGTGGTGACTAAAGGGCACACTCTTGTTTCACGAGGACTGCTTTCTAGCACGGCCCCACATTTGATGCAGCACAAGAGCCCAAATATTGTGCCACATACCCGTTCATGACTATGTTGACAGTTTTTTGCCACGGCCATACATTTTACACTGAGCTTCGCTTTTATTGCAGTAGCAGTGATACTGGGCATCAGGCAACTTTTTGCAGTCTCATCATGTCCCCATCATGGCAGCAAAAAATGATCATTCAGAAGGAAAGCATTTGGAACCACGTGACTGGACATCTGAACCAGAAGGCCCCTTCTTCTGCAGTGGGCTGCGTTATACAATTATCCATGTGACTTTCATGTGTTGTGATAGTACTAACAGCGAGCTATTTGTGGCAGGCAGATCTGAAGGCGTGGGGGTGGGAGGGGCTTGATCAAAGGCACCTATATAATTTTTACTCTTGAGATGGACACAAAAACGTGGCTCCTGCGATGAGGAACAAGGAAGGAAAATAAATGCTGGAAACACCTTGAGTAAGACTTCCCCCACATTCCGGGGAACACACAGAGTGGTCACTCCACATTCTGCAGTTTAGCTAAGAGTGTCGGGTTTGTCGGAACTTAGAGCGTGTCGCGCAAGCTCAAACACTTGAAAAGTGTGACAGTTGTATATTCATGCTTTTTCTCTTTGTACCTGCTCATCCTGGCCAAATGTCCTTCTTTTCGCTGCAGCAACTTCTTTTCGCTGCAGCATCAGTTTGTAGCCTCAAATACTTGTAGTTCGTGTGACATACCAATTTCTTGCTATCATAATCATTGCCAACGCACTTCTGCTAAAACTGGCTTTTTTTAGAAGCATTCCTCCGAAAAAGAGCCGTCGTAAGCCGTCTCATTCACCATTTATTTTTGTCAATGCTCATAAAGGTTCACACACATCAGGTGCAAAAACTTGGGAAGTGGGCTCTGAAATAATAAAGCACAGGTAGATGGAATGACAAAAGAAGAAATAAAGAGGGTACATATATTCCAGTAACTCGCTTTAAAATGTACTGTTTCATCTCGTGTTATTTGTATAGTGGAACCCCGCTACTACATTTGTCACTGCTGCATTTTCTTGGCTGTTACGTTGTCTTTCATCGGTCCCGGCATAGCTCCCATACAATCCTATGTACTGCGAACTCCACTGTTACGTTGCAACTGTGAGAACGTTCCTACATGATGCGTCCCAGCCTAGTCTGCCGAACCCGCCCAGCATGCAGCTCGCGCACCACCATTTTGATTTTATGTTGTAAAGTCTTGGTCTGGCTTGGCTACGGAACAGGCTGGAAGATGCCGCAGGCAAATTAGAGAAGCCGCCCCTGGATGGCCATTCGTGAAAAGTGCTATCACCATCATCACAGCACTTACAACAGAAGTTTCACTACAGAATGCCGAATACATGTGACAGTCCCACCGCCACACGTCGCACGTTGTGACTCGTCTTCAGTCGCTGTTGTGTGCTCTAAGCCTGTTGAACACCGTTTAACTTCTCAACACAGTCTTTGTCAAAGCTTAATGGCATTGCATAAATGGAAAGTGCTTTTCCTTGAGGAAAAGCTGGATGTAGCATGGAGTGCAATGAGCCCGTCAACTGCAGAGCACTGCTTCACGAGGTGTGGGTTCTGTATGGACTGCAAATGGGAGCCTGTCATCGAAGCTCAACAATCGAAAGCAGCCTTTTTGTGAGCAAGAGCTCAATGACATAATGAATGTGCTGGGTGCAATGGGTATGATGTCGCTGTGGATGCTACCATTAAGATGTCAGAGCGCCAGACAATCGCATAGATTGTTGCAAACTCGATCGCATCTGAAGACGGGGACATCGGTGACGACGACGAGCACGAGTCACACAATTCTAAAGAGTCGGCCGTAGAGTTGGCCAATCTCAGCTTTGGAGAAGCCGTCGCGACCCTGAACTACCGTCGCAGGTACGTTGCACACCAAAGCGACGGTGAAAGCAATGCGGCCTTCCAAATTATAGAGAAACGCATGGTGCTTACTGGCGAGCGAAAGAAGCGGCAGTCAACTATCTTCGAATATTTTATGTCCTTGGCTCACTTTGCCGAAATAAATTGTTTGTAGTCAAAGCACCTGTGCTCTCATTAAATTTCGGAGCTTTCCTCACTCTTGTGTTTGCTCAGCTGTTACGTTTTTCCAGCCCGGTCCGCTGAAAAATCTATGAATGGGGCTCCACTATATAAATATATATGAAATCTATAAATTATCTTCATTCTTTTCACCCATATCTTAAGAACACCAGAAAGTAGGCAACCTGCACATGCCTGGACATCTCATCAAGTTCCTCTTGGAACTCTCAGAGAAAGTCATTACTAGTCATATTTGAAACATAGTATATACAAGCAGTTCGACAACAATAGTATAATAGAAAAAGGTACAACAGTAACGTATTCACCTTGGGGTTAAATAAAAAGATCACAGTGATATGAGTGATGCACATCATAGCGAGCAGTGAATAGCATACCTAAAGAGCGATAGCAGAACAAATGAAGCAGCAAAAGGGCTGCCATGTTGCATAACATCTTGACGACATAACATACGTTTCAAACTAATGTTCCAAGCATACTTTCAGCATGGTATTTCCTGACAACACCATGATATGTTTAATACACTTAGCATGACAGTCAATACTTGACAGAAGTGAATGCTGTGTAGACAGGTTATTTATAGAATGTGTTACGAGTAATTGTAAGTTTAAACAAAGAAACGTGGACAGAAAGGTAACTTGCCAAGGCCAGAGACCAAACCTACGACCTTTGAATAGCGCATCCAGGAACACTGGATGCTTTATTCAAAGGTCATAGATTCAGTCCCTGCTAGTGGCAAGTTATTTTTTTCATCAACTGTTTCTTCTTCAAATTCACATTACAATTACTTCTAATAACATACCCTATACATTCCTTGGCATTATTACCTGTTAGCTCTCATTGATATTGTGTCAAACAAGGCAAAACGAGCCCTTAAATTTACACTTCCTTCCTTCATTTGTTAGCATAGAGACCTTCATGTTCCTAAGATATACTATACTATAGATTGTACAAAAAGTACTTGTCAAATGTTATACAGGAGGACATCCTCGTACCTACTAAAAATTTTTGAAATGTGGGTATATGAATGATTGAGCTGAGAGAATAAGAAAGCAACAAGACAAAAAAAAAAAAACCGAGCTAGCACCATTACGTATAGCTACAAGTGAACCATTTCCCAAGAATGTCGATAATGTAACATAGCATAATATTGTATATATTATACACTGAAACTGCCGCATGAATATAAGCTTCAGAGTGGGTCAATGTATTTTATAATTAAACCTCAGTCATTTCTTTTTAAATGCCACAGCTGTTTCAAAATGTTTTTTCCAGGCTGCTGTCTCCATAGTGCAGAGCTTTCACCTGTATTGAACATTCACCGAAGTGAGGCATTTGCAGTAATTATCTCTACAAAGCACCACAAATGCTCGGCCTAATAGCAAGTCAAATGCCTTTGTCATAAATTCCAAGGGACATGTGATAGATAGGTTGTACTTCAGTGCTGAAATACTAGCAGCCCGAGCCAAAAGCACGTCTACTCGCTTGAAGATGCAAGTGTCGTGCTACAGTCATATTGTCAAGATATCTGTCAGGCCCTCATCAGTGAAGCAGCCGTTGAGCCAACAGATCGCGAGAACTGTAGCTTTCACACTAATTATCTTCCAGTAATCCTGAAATTTGACCAATTACAAAAATATTTTCTTACTACAAACAAACAACTTAAGTGGCATGCCCACCTGTTGACACTCACTTTTCCTTACCTGGATGTCTAACCGGGTCGGCAAGCACGGCGCGAAACCCGCCATGCGCTTGACTGGGTTGCTTCTCCATTTGCCAAGAGGGCAAGGAGCACACGTGAGCCCTATCTGGCTACTTAACCTCGTATATCCCCCACATTCACGGAAGTAATCTCATAACACAATGTGCGCTGTCAACGGCAACGGACAACCTCAGAGCTTTGCCAAGAGGGAGCCCATGACAGGCTTGTCCAGAAACTCCTTCCACCACGGCGCCCGCTGTGTGCCTCCCGGGGAGAGAACAAATGACTGAAACAGCTTCTTGTACACCTGGAAGCAAAAAAACACGTTGGAAGTAGTACGTACAAGAATCGCTAAGCTAGTTGGTGTAACTTGACGTAAAATTATGAGAGGACGAAAAGCTGTGAGAACAGAAGGAACGAACAGGACAGACGCTCAACTTACAAGTGATGTTTAATGGAATAGTATAACTTTATTAATGTCCTGCAAGAAGTACATGAACCTGCTTTGGGCTCCAACATAGGAACTGAAAGACCTAGCCTGACAGCCGCATCGTGGGCTTGCTGGACGGCCCATTTCTGGTCGGCTAGGCTGGAGTTACGCAAGACAGCGTCCCACCTTGTCGAGGCAGCATCAAGGTTCGCATGGTTATACATAGTGATGCCCTCCTAGAGCATGTCTCTATATTTGATGTTTCTTTCATCACAGTACTGTTTCACAGACGTGCAGCAAAATTTATCCCAACTTAACAGCATTGGACCTTGCAGGTTCAATGCTGTTAGCCATGTGAACCTCAGTGGTACAGTCTAACCCGAATATACCGAACTCGCCAAAAAATGTTTATTAGTTTGATATATGGCATAATTCGATATAGGCCCGGTATAGGTTTTGACACAGAGGCACATAAAAAACTAGAAGAAAAGTACTTTATTAATATGGTGGCTTACTTGCGTGCCATACTGCAGAATAAAATAGTCATAGATTTTTTTTTGTGTCAAGACTTCGCTGCCTGCGACAGCACGCACGCCTCCACGTTGTCCAACGAGTCTGAGCAGCTGAGGCCGCAACCTTCCACATTCAAGCAATAGCACCGGACCAACGCAAGTGCACTAATCACTTCGGAGGATGTAGGCAATGGGCCGTCGTCGATTTCCATATTGCTGTCGCTTTGGCTCGTGGTTGGCACGACGTCTGCAATGTAATCCTCATCCTGTAATTGGCCCATGATGGGGACATCATCGTCCGCACTCACGAACTTGTTGAATGTCGATCCGTCGATAGCACCTGGGAACTCTGCCAGCTCGTTCCAAACTTTGGGGAAAACACCTGCGGTGTCTTCAGTGCTGTCAGAATTTGGGGTGTCATCACCCAGCATGCGGAAGCCAGCATGCCTAAAGCAGTTCTGGATCGTCTTTTTCTTGACATCTGCCCACGACCTACTCAACATAGAAATAGCTCCGAGCAAGTCGATCTTAAGCTCCCTGCCGACACGAAGGTTCTGCATCAGCCTCTCTACCAGGCGCTTCGAATAGCGGCTTTCAATGCGCTTATAACGCCTTGATCAAGTGGTTGCAGTACAGACGTAGTGTTCGGGCGCAAAAAAACACAGCTCAATGTTGCTGAAGGTCGTACTGCAGTGGTGCGATGAACAATTGTCCACGAGCAGGCACACCTTGTGATTTTCGCCTACCAAATCATCATTCCACGACGATAGCCATCTGCTGAAAAGCTGCCCGGTCATCCACACTTTTGAGTTTGCTCGGTAGGTAACTGGAAGCGACAGCGCATTTTGAAAACACCGCGGTGCCATGCTTTTCTCGATAACCAGAGGTCGAAGCTTTTCCGATCCGTCTAAATTAGCTGGCAACAGCACGGACACACGAGCTTTGTTTGCCTTGCCGCCGCTTGTTTTGTCGCCACGACACGCAAGTGTCTTGTTTGGCAACATTTGCCAAAATAGAGCGGTTTCATCCGCATTGAAGATATCTTGGGCTCTATATATTGCTGCGATATCTCGCCAGTTTTCCTCGAGCCATTTTTCTACGCTGTCCAGGTCCGCCGCTCTGCTTTCATCTGTAACAGCTTTGCCAACAATGTCGTGCCGTTCTTTGAACCGCTGAAGCCAGCCTGAACTGCCTTGGAAATCATTCCTGCGAAGCAGAAAAGCAAGGTCCTTGGCTTTCGGCTCGATCATAGGGCCGGACACCGGGATGTTTCGCGACCGAACGTCTACAAACCACTTGTAAACGGCCGCTTCAACATCTTTGTACACAGCAGCGCGCACACGTCGGGTGCCACGGGCACCTGGCCTTTTGTCAGACTTGGCCCTTGATGTCTGCCTTGTTCTTCAGGATAGTACTCAAGGTGCTCCTTGAAATTTTGTACACGGCGGCGACGTCGGACTTCTTTTCACCGCACTCAACCCGATTGATGATTTCAAGTTTCGCGGCGAATGGCAAATTTTGCCTCTTTGCGCAAGCCATGATGACAGCGCGCCAATACAGTTCACAGAACACCAACAGGCAACACCACAAACCACGCTGAATCGGCAGCAGCAGGTACACAAGCATAAAGAAAGAAAAAATGGTGCTCACTTCTACCGCCTCCGCGCCTCGGAGAAAGGATGATGGCCTCTGATTGGCTGTAAGCACTGCGAGCGGGCCAGGATCATTTCTTGGAGGGCGGTGTTCGCCCGCGCACAACCGGGTCTAACCAACTTTTTCTAGGGTGACGCCGGCAGTTTTGCCCGCCACCTCGAGGGAAAGCCAACTTGCTGGGGCACTTTTGAGGCACATGATATCAGCTGCCGTTGCTATTTTAGTTCGATAAAACAGTAACTTTTGCTATATATTCTCAATGTAAACTTACCGTGTTTAGGAATCATTCGATATAGGGGATAATTTGATATAAATGGGTTTGATATAGTCGGGCTCGACTGTAACACCATGTTTTAAGTTCGGCTGAGCATACATGAATTCGTACACTTCTAAACTAAATTTCTAGGCTTGTGCGAACAGTAAATTTTAGGGTCCAAGCGAATTCGAAGCAAATAGTGATTTTGGGCGAATAATTTAAAATAGAATTCGAATAGTATATATATCACCTATAATAAAGAAAAAGGGGCATATTTGTCATGACCAAACTAACCTGCACAATATATATGTTATTTTTTTAAAATCGAGACAAGGCCTGCGCAAAGGCCATTTTTTTGCATTAAAGGAAGTGGCGAAAATTTTGAATAGTAGCAGGATTTGACTTTCGGTACAGTCCAAGCGATAGCTAGTAAAATATGCTACATTTCCAAATTTGCTATACTTAGAACATATAGGTTGCTGTAACAAACTTTTCGACTGAAAATAAAATGAAAAAACAGAAACCTTGATGTGAGGCTTCACTGCAGTGCAGAATTCTCCTGAGTATGTGTTTTGACTGCTTTGCAGCACTACACTGCAGTGAAACTACATTTACAAGCATTAGTACGTTTGAATAGGTAATTTCACCACATAATACCCCTCCATTGCAGTGAAACGACCTTTACAAAGCATAGCATGCAGATTAATATGCACCTACTCGTTTGCATCGAATAATTCAGAATATTCAACAATTTAAATTCAATTTGAAGCAAATTCGAATACTGCATTATTCATTCGATTGTACAAAGCATTCGAATATTCACACAAGCCAACAAATTTTTGAAAAATATCATTTGCATGTTGATCACCTTTTCTGGCAATTATTTTCTGTTCTTGCTGCTATCCTGCTCATGTTTATACAATACAGCGAAAGTAGAGTACGGCAAAGTGCAATATTCACTGTGGTTACTTCTACGTATCCAGAGTTTTTCGCACGGTAGGTGGCAGTGGATCTGCTGCCCACAACTTTGGTTGACCGCCCATCCCCATGATCACTCGCCCGCCCCTGTCTGCCTCACGGATTTTAACTTAACAGAACTTGGGAACTCCCTGTTGCCCCCAAGCACTGTCTACATCTGATTTTGTTGGACCTTATCGGGACCTGGATATCGTCCAAAAGATTGTGTCGTCCAAAAACTGACACATGCTTTCTTTGCACAAATAAAAGTGCTTGTGGAACACATTAAACCAGGGGTCTCACACGTATCTTGGGCGTTGAGCTGAAGTTGGAGAATTTAGCCTCGCAAGGAATCACTTGTGAAGGTCTGGGGCCATGCTTTTATCCACATGTCGATACCGATCTCCAAAATGAGCAAAATGTAGATGCTAATTCTCCGATACTGTTGGTCGTTTCAGAGTTACGGTTGAACACATGGTAACCACACGGGGTGCCTCACAAAAACAAGATGTGGGGTGTCTCACACCTGGGTTGATTACACACATGCTTTTTATGAAAATGAAAAAAAAAAAAAAATGTGGCAAGGAGACAGCCATGTGCAGGCTGCGGGTAGCAAATACACTTGCGACCTACACGCACGACACACACACACACACACATGCACGCACTCACGAGCGTGCGCGCGTACAACAAGCTATTATGAAGCCTTAGGTTTCATTGTAGAGCATTACTGCATTGCGGCGAAATCTACTCATGAAAACCGCAACTGCTGTGAACAGATCGGCACATCATAGTGCACTGTCTTGAAGCTGAGAGATAACCGACGTGGCAGCAGTAGTGTAATCTAATAATGCCATTTTGCACTTGCAATCAGAACCTTGTGTATATCCAACAGCTAGGTGCAGCCGGACTTGCATATAAAAGGTGTCAAATTTCCGTTACAAAGTTGCTCAGTAAGAAATAATACCCACACAATAAAGAACAATGGCTAGGTCAAATTGCTATCTAATTCACCTAAATATCCTATAATTGCCATAAACCACGCTTAAACAAAATAATTTTTTTAAATTTGTAGCTGGCTTCGTCACAATGATAAAAAGTACTTTGGGAAAGAAAGACACACACGCATGCACACACACAAAGCTTTTGTATAAATGTAGGATAGCAGAATGGCTAGAAGTGAAATGACCTGATCCCAGCACTCATTTAACTAATACTGCAGAAGTTTATCATACAATGAGCACGGATGCCCGGTACCAATTTCTTTCAAAGCACGAATCCAACAAACTAACCGCGAGCCTTTGCAAAAAGAAATGCAACGTTACACTTGAACAAGTCTGAACGTCCATCTGAAGCTAACCTGTCCATCCGAGCATCCGAGCACAGAGTTGAGAGCAACATCAGGTGGAGCAATGACGTCTGCCAGCGTGACGGCGTCGTCCTTCAGCTCGCGGCAAAGCTGCAGAATGCCTTCTCGCATCAAATTCTTGGCAGCTTCACCTGCGCAATATCCACCTGAAGTAGAGAAATTAGGATGAGGTGAGGTCAAACAGAATGACAGAACTGCCCAAGATAATATAATGCTGCAATCAACAACAAAAACATGAAAAAATGGGCATATTGATACATAAAGCAAGAGCATAAAGAAATTTGGCAAGAAAAGTGTTCCAATCCTAACGAGAAAAAAAAAATTAAGGTATTCTTTGTGTACGTTGCTGCACTGACTGCCAATCTATTATTTTTCATAAGCTGAACTTGAAGGGGCCCTACAACCCTGTCCAAGTAGCCATAGAATGAATTCAGCATAGAAGCTTATAGCCTCCTGAATTAACTGCGACAAAAATTTCTAGAATTCGACCAGTACAAGTGGAGTTACAAGGATTTGTTGCACGCTGCAATTGCTTTCTCTCTTCTCTCGTTTTTACAAAAGCGCTGGAAGCTAAGCAGGGAGGAATCGAACAGGCGGAGAAGGTACGTCACATGCGTGCGTTTCTTGACCTTGGGCACTTTTTCTCCATTTTTTTGTACTTCTAAAGTGCGGCCTTTCAGTGCGATCACGTGCGCACGCGTGGACAGGTTTCGGCATTACAGGGTGTTCCCAGTAACTCCTAAGCAGACCATGCTCAAATCAATTGCACAATAATGACCAGTGATGCACTGATTTTTGAGCATGTACTATCATTTGTTGAGAGTGGAGAAAGCTATCTTTAGCTGACGTTTGTGGGGCTGCTAACAATCCCTGTAAAGTCGTCTGCGCCGCGTGGCACACATGTCTCGCCCAAAAGCCGCATTTTGGAGTGACAACCACCGGGCGATAGATGGCGTTGTATTGGCGTTGAGCACCACCATGATCATCATGGTCGTTACAGTGGTAGCGCCGGCAGTGACCCTTGGCGGAAGCGAGAATTGGTGGTGGGAGAGAGTTGAGTAAGTCTCTTCTGCGCGTGGCGGTTGCTGCAAACGGTTGTCTTTAGTGTGGGTCCTCGCAGCGTGGCATCACGGGCCTGCGCGCCGGGGGCCCTCGTGGTAAGTCAAGCATTGACGACGCTTCCTTGGGTGTGCCAGTGCGTTTGTTGTGTCATTGTACGACGATGTCCTAGCGTGTTAATTACAACTGATTTATTGATTCAGCGGACGATATCGTTGTTCAAAAGTAGTTAAATAAATGTGTGTATGTTGCTTGGTTTGTACCGACTGCGTCTTCTGTGTCCGTTCACTCCAAGAGCGTAGCGTGGCGTGTCGCTCGCTATTTTGAGACCCCACACTTTGAGAATTTATTGGAAATTCCAGGCCCCGTGCTGCACTATAATATTTGGCTAGTGTGTCCCTGGAAGCCTCGACTGCCGAGCAGCAGCGTTTTCTGCCCATGCTCAAGAAGTGTTGCAGGGCCCCTTTAAGGCGCCATACTTTTGTTTTTGCTAGATGCAGGCATCCAAAATTTCTTCATAATAAAAAAATAGATTGATAATGAATATTGGTGCTCAATATTTTCTGCAAACTTAGCTCCTAAACAAAGTCGGTAGGATAAGATACTAAGATATATTTGGGGGCATGTTTATAAGTGCACAAGTATTGCAGAAAATACAGAAAACAGCATTGTACTTGAACACTATTTTTATCACTGCATTAATTTAACATTGGTTTTCAGCGTCAATTTAATCTGATCATTCTCATTGGTGCCATCAAAGTCAAAAGATTGATTGTTGACAGCGGCAAGACATGGCAATGCGAGAAACTCGAGCTCACCACCGTACAGGTCCCCTATGCGTTTCTCCAGGCTCCAGAGCGCAAAAAGGGAGTTAATTCGTTGCAGCACAACACACAGCTGAGGGTCTTTCAGGTCGCCAATGAAGTTCTGGAACTTTTCCACAATGGTGTGCTGCAGAAAGAAACGAAATGAATGCAGCCCAATGGTGGCAGAAAGTATTGCTTCACAGCAGTTTAATCTTCAGGTCGCAGCTTTCATGCACAATTTTCAGCCAGTCCATATTGTTTGCAAGAAACGGTTGAATACAATAAACAAAATGTATGCGATGATAGTAAATGCTGACACATTTTTTGGTCCTGTCACTGGCAAAAGTGGTGGTGCAATTAACAATTTGTGTGCTGGTGCACATTGGTTGACTAGTAACGGTTAGAAAAGGATATCCTTCAATGGGCACTGGAAATATTTACCCCCCCCCCATGCTTCGAATTTGACGTAAGCATGTGGGAGGCCGATCAGCTTGCTCTCTGTAGTATACAAGCTATTTACAAAGGTAATTGCTAACAGAGTAAAGAAAACATTAGAATTCAATCAACCAAAGGAACAAGCAGGATTTCGAACAGGCTACTCAACAATTGACCACATTCATACTATCAATCAGGTAATAGAGAAATGCTCAGAGTATAACCAACCACTATACATAGCCTTCATAGATTACGAGAAGGCGTTTGATTCAGTAGAAATATCAGCCGTCATGCAAACACTGCGGAATCAGGGCGTAGATGAAGTATATATAAACATTCTGGAAGAAATCTACAGGGGATCAACTGCTACCATAGTGCTTCATAAAGATAGCAACAGAATACCAATCAAGAAGGGTGTAAGGCAGGGGGACACAATTTCCCCAATGCTATTTACCGCGTGCTTACACGAGGTTTTCAGAAGCCTAGAATGGGAGCAGTTAGGGATAAGAGTCAATGGAGAATACCTTAGTAACCTGCGCTTCGCCGATGACATTGCATTGCTGAGTAACTCGGGGGACGAATTGCAACTCATGATTACGGAGTTAGACAAGGAGAGCAGAAAGGTGGGTCTTAAAATTAATCTGCAGAAAACGAAAGTAATGTACAACAACCTCGGCAAGGAGCAGCGCTTCGAGATAGGTAATAGTGCACTTGAAGTTGTAAAATACTATGTCTACTTAGGGCAGGTAATAACCGCAGAGCCGAACCACGAGATTGAAGTAACTAGAAGAATAAGAATGGGGTGGAGCACATTCGGCAAGCACTCTCAAATTATGACAGGTAGATTGCCACTATCCCTCAAGAGGAAGGTATATAACAGCTGTATCTTGCCGGTACTTAGCTACGGAGCAGAAACCTGGAGACTTACAAAGAGGGTTCAGCTTAAATTGAGGACGACGCAGCGAGCAATGGAAAGAAAAATGGTAGGTGTAACCTTAAAAGACAAGAAGAGAGCAGAGTGGATTAGGGAACAAACGGGGGTTAAGGATATCATAGCTGAAATCAAGATGAAGAAATGGACATGGGCAGGGCATGTAGCGCGTAGACAGGATAACCGCTGGTCATTAAGGGTAACTGACTGGATTCCCAGAGAAGGGAAGCGGGTTAGGGGGAGACAGAAGGTTAGGTGGGGAGATGAGATTAAGAAGTTTGCGGGTATAAATTGGCAGCAGCAAGCACAGGACCGGGTTAACTGGCGGAACATGGGAGAGGCCTTAGTCCTGCAGTGGACGTAGTCAGGCTGATGATGATGATGATGATGATGCTTCGAATAGTTGTATGCTACTCCAGGTTAGCACACCATATTGAAAGGTACCACTTCACAGTTACATCAAGGCAATGAGTTATGCTGCGGTCGTGGAGGTCTCCGTGATGGGAGAGGAAGCTACCGTTCAATAATTATAGAAACTGAATTCTGGAATTTAACTATTTCCCCGCCACGGGGAAAGTATCTTGGCTATTTTGGAGGCTACACTATATATTTTTTGCTCAAAGAGCTACTGCAACTGCACCTGACATTTTTTGTAACACAACAAATGAGAAGCAGAATGAACGAACGTTTTAAACATATAGGTTCTCATTACGAGATACACGTTGCACGAGCTGTGTAAATTGCCAGGTTCAATGCTACAAGACAATTACATAGTTTGCAAAGACATACCTATATCTGTGGAGAAAAAAAAATATGACAGAAATTATGAGATAATAAACACCATCCCTCAAAAAATCAAAATTTTTTCTATGAACGGAACTTTTGAGATCTTACTATAAGCACTCCAATTGGGCATGTCATGCAGCAAAGCTGTTTAGTGTAACGTAGCATTTCTTGCAGCAAACTCTTGTTTTCTAGTTGGTTTTTTTGCTGCACATTTGCACTTCTTACAGTTTACAGTTTCCATTCTAGCAGGCTCATGGTTGAACCTTAACTGAGATGGCTTAAAGCAGAAAGCAAAGCTGACGGTTGTTCCGGGCTCGTTTGCATCGTCCGTGCACTCAGTTAAAATCAGACCGAAACGCATCATTCACACATTCGCTGCTGCTCATTAAATTGACAAAATCAGTCGGAAACATGCCACAATGTTCAAATTTGCAACCTACCAAAGTGCACGTGCGTGCGGCATTTGGTGGTGGCTATTTTTTTGCTTTCCACTAAGACAACCGCGTTATACAGTAGCCAAACGGCCAGCCAGTAAGCAGCAAACAAAAACTTGGTCAGGGATTATTCGCAGCGATGTTTTAACAGATCATATGGCTAAAGTTTGTACCTATTAATTCGAAGTGCACCAAAGCATTTTTGAATTCCGAAAGCAAAGCTTTTAAAGCTCGAGAGGTAAAACATTGGGTGTCTGCAAGAAACCCCTCCTTGTTGCTGCTTATCAGCCTTGCTCACTAATAGAGGCCGACCATGCAGCTACCATGCCGAGTTTGCTCGTCGCCTGAGCCGTGTACGAGCAACAAAAGGCCTGCACATCTCCCGGGGATGCCGCAGCCAGCTTTGCACGTTAGTTCTGCAGCTGAAGTTTGGACATTTTTGCGTGGTCTGTGACACAGCCTGCGGTCTGACTTTACATTGCCTAGAAAAAGACTTAACATCTGCCAGGAAGGCTCTGTAAAGCCCCTAAAGTTTAAGCTTCTGCCTTTTTTTTTCCCTTCAAAGTGCAGTCAGCCTTGCCAGAAACTGAACTTCCATGCTCATAGTTGACATCTAAGTACTGCAGCTCCTAATCACAACACTTTGGTTGGCTTGACGAATTCTCAGCTAGATAGAATACAGTTACAGAGGAGCCAGAGTGGCCAGCCAGGTCCAGCCACACAAACTATTCTAGCCAATACACAAGCTTAGAAAAGGGCAAAAAGCAAATTGGAGGTACAAAATGAACTGCAGTGATGTGTTCAAATATTTTCTAGCAGAATAATTCGAACAGTATAGTATATCACATATTATAAATTACATCAGCATTTTCGTCATGACCTAAATAAATCCCTAATATTTTTTAAGAACGAGTACTTAACATGTGCGAACCTCACGCTTTTGGTTCGAAGAGAAGTTGAAGCAACTTTGCATGATAACAAGATTTGAATAACAGTAGGGTGCAAGTTGTAAGCAGTAAAAAATGCTGTTTTAAAATTTACTATAGTACCTAATGCATATAAGACTGAATAACATTTTGTTAATCTCAATTGATTAATTAAGGCATAGCCAATATGTATTGTCAAAAACAGTTTGATGGACTTGAAGTGCGTGATTGAGCGATGGAAAAATCCATTGCTGCAGCACCTACCATCACATTGTGGTTGTTGAGGCTATTGGCTACGGCCTGCACTGATTAGCAACAGCAGAATTAGGCAATGATGCCACTGCTGAATCTCATCGTGGAGGCAGTGGCTGATAGCTTCAACACCGTGTGATGGTAGGAGGCACAGTAATGCAGTTTTCCATTAGCTCCGTCATGCACTGCAGGGCCAGCAAACTTTTGCGGATGACGGTGCATTTAATTATGACGTGAGACTTTGCAGCAGTGTAAATTTTAGCGTGATAGGCGGTTTCATCGTGCATTAGCCCCATGTTGGCCTGAAACCACTTTTACAGCGGTGGTTACATAAGGTTAGGTATACATGTACCTGTTGATTTTAATTTAAATTCACATTGCCACTTTTACCGAGTAATAGGAGCTTATGTGGACAAACAATGGCCTGTGCTGTAGTACCTCAATGTATGCCAAGGCCAGTTCACGAAGGCAGAAGGCCTGTGTGTTGTTCTTGGCCGAAAACTGGTCTTCTCCCTGAGACAGCAGCGTTGTGTACTTCTCGTCGCTCACCCTCAGCAGGTAGCACACCAGCCACTTGTATGCTGCCAAGATCACTGCGTACGAGACCGGGCAATTGCGAGAAAGGCATAAAATGTCACAAGCCCAAACAACACATTGAAGCAGTTTCCGATTTCAAATCTCAATATAAAAAAAATAGTTTATCCACATGGGCGCAGCAGTGAATGCAATAAACTAAAACTTCACTATAAAAAAGTTGCACCTTGCGTGAAAGCAAGGTCCTTATAAATGAAAATTCCTTGTAAAGATATATTTTTAATACTATACTGCAGCACTTTCTCATTTACTTCGTTATAACCGATATTTCGTTATATTTGGGTTTGTTATACAGTCGCCGACCGATTTTCCGGACTCCAAAAATTCGGACTTGTTGGATATTCCGGACTTCATAAATGCACCGTCAGGGATCCCATAGAGCTAATGCATTGTTTCGACCGATTTTTCGGGCGAATTTGCCCCTGAAAGTTCGATTTTTCGGACTAAATCGCTCGTTTTGTGCCACGCCCCAAGCCATTGTGGAACGCCGCCATGTTGGATTTTCCGTCGGCTTGGCTAAGCTTGGTCTTCAGATGCTTTTCCTGCCTCCGAGATTGGAATGCGCGCGCCATATTTTAAGTTTCGGAGGCCGTGTTTGCTTTTTAAAAGACGCGGTGATGGATGCCGTTTTTTCGTCTTCAGTCAGCACTATCGTCATCACATCGCACGGGGGAGGAGGCGAAAGAAGGATTCTTTTATTGTCGTTGCAGCTTTTTTCAGTCGCCATTCTGCACGTGTTGTGTCGCGTAGCGTCGAGACGTTGTGTGCTTCGCAGCGGCAAGTACTGCAGCTCCTAATCACAACACTTTGGTTGGCTTGACGAATTCTCAGCTAGATAGAATACCAGGAGGCGAACAGTTACAGAGGAGCCAGAGTGGCCAGCCAGGTCCAGCCACACAAACTATTCTAGCCAATACACAAGCTTAGAAAAGGGCAAAAAGCAAATTGGAGGTACAAAATGAACTGCAGTGATGTGTTCAAATATTTTCTAGCAGAATAATTCGAACAGTATAGTATATCACATATTATAAATTACATCAGCATTTTCGTCATGACCTAAATAAATCCCTAATATTTTTTAAGAACGAGTATTTAGCATGTGCGAACCTCACGCTTTTGGTTCGAAGAGAAGCTGAAGCAACTTTGCATGATAACAAGATTTGAATAACAGTAGGGTGCAAGTTGTAAGCAGTAAAAAATGCTGTTTTAAAATTTACTATAGTACCTAATGCATATAAGACTGAATAACAACATTTTGTTAATCTCAATTGATTAATTAAGGCATAGCCAATATGTATTGTCTAAAACAGTTTGATGGACTTGTAGTGCATGATGGAGCAATGGAAAAATGCATTGCTGCAGCACCTACCATCACATTGTGGTTGTTGAGGCTATTGGCTACGGCCTGCATGATTAGCAACAGCAGAATTAGGCAATGAGCCACTGCTGAATCTCATCGTGGAGGCAGTGGCTGATAGCTTCAACACCGTGTGATGGTAGGAGGCACAGTAATGCAGTTTTCCATTACTCCGTCACGCACTGCAAGGCCAGCAAACTTTTGCGGATGACGGTGCATTTAATTATAACGTGAGGCTTTGCAGCAGTGTAAATTTTAGCGCGATAGGCGGTTTCATTGTGCATTAGCCCCATGTTGGCCTGAAACCACTTTTACAGCGGTGGTTACATAAGGTTAGATATACATGTACTTGTTGATTTCAATTTAAATTCACGTTGCCACTTTTACCGAGTAATAGTAGCTTATGTGGACAAACAATGGGCTGTGCTGTAGTACCTCAATGTATGCCAAGGCCAGTTCACGAAGGCAGAAGGCCTGTGTGTTGTTCTTGGCCGAAAACTGGTCTTCTCCCTGAGACAGCAGCGTTGTGTACTTCTCGTCGCTCACCCTCAGCAGGTAGCACACCAGCCACTTGTATGCTGCTAAGATCACTGCGTACGAGACCGGGCAATTGCGAGAAAGGCATAGTATGTCACAAGCCCAAACAACACATTGAAGCAGTTTCCGATTTCAAATCTCAATAAAAAAGAGCAGTTTATCCACATGGGCGCAGCAGTGAATGCAATAAACTCAAACTTCACTATAAAAGAGTTGCACCTTGCGTGAAAGCAAGGTCTTTATAAATGAAAATTCGTTATAAAGATATATTCTTAATACTATACTGCAGCACTTTCTCATTTACTTCGTTATAACTGGTATTTCATTATATTTGGGTTTGTTATATTGAAGTTTGCATGTAGCGAAAAATTGGAGTTTTATACTAGTTAAAGGGACACTCAAGTACAAGGGACACTCAAGTAAACAAGGTTATGGTGTCATGACGGGTCATTTTGTGCGGCGAACTCGAAAATCAAGATGAAAGTTTGCACAAACCAATGCAAATAACTTTTTTGCCCAAAAAAAGCAACAGGTGCTGCGGCAGGCCTGCAGCAGGCATCGTGAGTCTCGCTGCCGCTTGTGATTGGTCGAAGCTTCATGACATCACCACACAGTAAAAGCGGCATACGCTTCCACCTTTAGTTCCTAACATGCCACAGGCCCGTTTCTGACCAGAAAATTCATATTCCCGTGAAGCATTGATGGCTACGGCAACGAATTTCGTCTTGAAGTCGCATCGTCCTATCAGATAGAGATAAGCTGCGGTGAGAAGACCGATATCAGCGGCCTTGGCAACGTTTTTACATTATCTGGTCGTTCGCAAGTGTCCTAACATAATAAGTATAATAAATCGTACTGTGGGTTACGGTCTGCACGCAAACTACACGTGACCAATGTGGCCTCTAATTCTAGCTGAAATTAGCAGCAAGTGAGAAAACTGTTGAGGACTGATTGGGTATTTTGACACAACGTGGTGCAATTTCAGCAAAGTTCATTGTTTTGGTGCAGCTCGGGGCATAAATGGAAAATGGTATCAAATTGGCGCAATAGGCACAGCTGTTACATCCCTCAATTCAGGCATACCGAGTCCATTTCAACCCCACAGAAACACAACTAATGAATGTCAAGAGGCAAAAATCTCTAATCATAAGAAGAAAACGGTGTAACGGTGAGAAACCTCTACGAACTGACAGAACTGATGGTTTCTTAGGCAGCATATCACAGAAGAAACGAGGCACAATCCCAAAGCTAACAGGCTGAGCGGCTACGGTGACTTGGCTTGATTACCGCTATAGATGTCACTGCCACACTTGTCTCTCTCTCCCGCACTCCACTCCTGCGCTCCGCGTGCGTTCCCTCGGTCAAAGTTTGCTCACATTATACCGTCATCGTTGAATAGAAAATAGTGAAAGAAACCATCGCAAACATGTATGACGTCGCGGATACTGAATTGTCAGTAAATTTGCGAATGCGAAACGGCTTCAGTGTCCCTTTAAGGCCAGCAGCTAATTTCTTAAGGATTTAATCTTTGGTAACTATAAGAGAACAGTGGTGTAAGGTAGTGTGACCATTCCAGAGAGTGAAGCAGTTTTTGTGACTTCTGCAGTCTCAAACTTAAGTAAGCAGTGAAAGCAGAGCATGTACATTGGTACATGAGCTATCTATTGATGCCTGCCAAGATAGTGTGCACAAGTGTGTCCTTTTGATGAAAGTTTGAATTTGCTGCCCAAACAACACAGGCGTTCCCCCCTCTGTCTTCACAGGCATCCCTTTACGATCTTTTGCTTTATTAAAGCCAGGCACAGCATTTCCTCTCGGCTTAAAAAGCCATCAGTGGCAGGCGTTGCACGAGGGGCGTTATTATGGCATGCACTCTTCGTGCGAAGCAAGGTGGCCCGCCCGTTTCATCTCTGCTTTCACCGCATTCGTCCCCAGTGCTAGCACGGTTTCACTCGGCCACAGAACATACGACGCATAAGCAGTCATTATCGATCTAGAGTTTATATAGAAATTGACGGTGACAACGAGAACCCATGGAGTGGGTCCATGTGATTGCTGTTGTAATGAAAATGTCCATAAGGTTTGCAAGTTTTCCTTTGTTGTCCTTCAGTTTCTCTTACCTTCCCTTCACCTCCGCAACTATGGAGAGTAAACTTGAGTTGGTCTGCTCATTTTCAGGTGCTTCATCAGCTACGACAAGGCTGCTTATTTCCTCTACCAAGTGTTCCCATGCAACAGAGGACCAAGCGCTTGCTCTCAATTGCATGGCATAACTGACCGTTGATGTCGGTCATCTCACGGACGGTCGTTGCTGTCAGGGTGCCCTGCAGAATGGCCTCCATGTCGTTTAGAAACTGGATGGTCGGCATGGATGCTGGTAAGGGCTGGCCCATCTTGCGTCCTTGCACCAGTGACAGCAGTACGTTGCTCGTCTGCTGCAGAAGCACGTTGTTGTCGCCCTCGTAGGTGCAGTTGGCATCGTTGTCGTTGCGCAGCTCACCGAGACCCGACACTGAATTCCAAAAGGAATCAAACGGAAGAGGGCATGTAAGACAGAGCTGGACATTTTATTTGCAAGAAGCACACTGTGCAGCCCTAGTTTCAATGGCAAACTGAACGCACGCTCTTTCGATTATAGTAGTGGTAGATAGCAGGAGACGCCAAGAATGAAAAAAAGAACTGCATTAAAAAGAATAATGATTTGTCTCACTTCAGTAAAATATCTTCTCACAATACTAAAACTATTATGCTTGTTGCGGAAAGACACTTGGCGAGCGAGAAAATGCTTGAAATGGAAATTTGAGTGGCAATACCACCTTGCAGTTTTTGCACCGACTGCCATAACATCAGAGATTTTGACCCTGTCTACTATGACCCTCATATTCTTAATCAGTAAAAATGAAGTAGATTATTCTCCAAGTGAGCCAAAGACTTAATGTACCAAGTTTCAAGGAAGTATGTTGAACCAGTGTCCCCAAAATATCAAAACCCACTGAGAAGTTCATGATGTCACATGTGAAAATTCAGCACCAAATATAAAAATACAACTTCAATCTTGATATTGATTTCTGTTGATAAACTTATAGTGGCAAATTTAACAATAGAGATTTCAGAGCATAGTTTATTTCTGTAATTTAATTCACTGTTCCCTTTTGTGTTCTAAGGAAATAATCAACAATCTGGCTCCCTCACAGCGGAAATAATGTAAACTTTTGTTTCTTGCAGGCACGTCTGAGACAAAACACAAGCAGATAAATTAGTCTAGAGCACTCAGCAATGCCGACAAAGCCTCTAAAAATTACAGAGGGGTGTAAAAAGTTTTAACTGGTCCTAAAATCAGATTTCAGAGAAACAACTTGGCCTCTAGCACACAGACTAACTTGAACAATGAGCATTCGTTGAGAACTTCGTTCTGGAGCACGAAGGCGTGAAGTTTTCTGGGTAGAGTTTCAACCGAATTTCAAGGTTGTTGCGAAATACGCGCTACACTGTTGACATGAGTATTGTTCCCGGAAGCAGATAAAAAAGTACCTTTGAGATAGCCATGGCCACCACAGGCTTCGCGGCTCTCCTGTATTGCGTCCCTTGCCAGCCAGCCGGCTTTACACTTGGCAGCACACGACAAGATGTGCAACTCCACGCCCTGTTCAGACTGTGTGGCACAGGAAAAGAAAAAAAAAAAAGAAAGAACTGCTAAAGCCTTGATTGATTTAAAAGGGTGTATTGGTGGGCGAGTTGTCAGGCCAATATGAAAAAAAAAAAGCTAAAAACGAAGACACAGAGAGGACTGGGGACAACACGAATGCTTACAACACAGAGCATTCTTCACAATTTTCACACGCTGATTCATTGACTGATTCACAGAGGTTTAATACTTAGCTTAAGACTTTCTTTTAAACCCTCAGACTCATCTGCAGTCATAGAGTATTTCTTTCTTGTTTTTTTGTAGCCACTTATGTACCTTTCTATTCATTTCCTGCTTTCATGTACTACCTTGAAAAATGTTACACTTGTAGTTCTCACTATTATACTTTAATCTTAAGGCTTGTACTACATGTTAAGATTTTAAGGTTCTTATTCAGTTTGTTTATGCCACGCTTGATAGTAGATATTATTATTGTGAAGTTTACATGTTCCGATTATCATTGTAATAAGAATTGTGATCATGCACAGGAAACCCCATTTCGGTTTCTTACTACAGGACCTCCATCTGTAAGTATCTTTTTCTGATTGATATGATAGATATGTGGGGTTTCAACGTCCCTAAAACCACTTATATGATTATGAGAGACGCCGTAGTGGAGGGCTCCAAAATTTCAACTCCTGGGGTTCTTTAACATGCACCCAAATCTGAGCACATGGGCTTACAGCATTTCCGCCTCTACTGAAAATGCAGCCGCCGCAGCTGGGATTCGATCCTGTGACCTGTGGGTCAGCAGCTGAGTGCCTTAGCCACAATACCACCGCGGCGGGGCTGTATGTACACGACGTCCTCCTCATTCACCGATACTCAATATCTGACCGCTTTAATGCTTTCCCGTTAAGAACAACCACGAACAAACCCAGTACATTGGCAGTACTTTACTTTCATTCTTTCAATTCCACTGATTAGCTGGTTTGATCTGAATGTGCTACCGTGCTGTGTTAGAACAATTTATCAATCTATACCCTTTCATTGTTTCACTTTAATGCCCCTTAAGGAGCATTACAGCTAATAGATATGCTGTGATGGGCAACTCCAATTTAATACAGACAGTGGGACTTCTTTAATGTAAACTCGAACTTTACTAAAATTTTGCCACTGTGGCTTGCACAGCGGCAGCCATCAAGCTTGCATGCATAAAACTAGTCGCAGAATAACCCCTGAGGGTACTAGTAAATTCAGCACTGGTTCACACATACGAAGAGCAACAAAACACTACTGCTGTTGGCTGATTGCTTTCATGCTTCCCCGCAAATGGCATTGGTCTTTTGAGGTGATAATGGTATGTAGATGCACGGCGGACATTAAGGTTGCGAATGTCTTCAAGTTAACACTTGTATTTGCCTTTCCGTTTGATGCTGTCTTCTTTTATATTTCAGCCTCTTTATCTTGTATGCCATTAGCCCCCTTCCTGCAAAATTTACTATAATGGAGTCAAGACAAAGTTACCATTGAATACATTTATTTGTTTAGCGAAATTTGGTATGACAGAAGTTGTTATGCTGCTGCAATCGACAAAGCATCCAACATGTGATGTTACCAAAGTGCCCCTGCTCCCTGTAAATATTAATGGTCAGATGACCAGGCAGATCACAGTATCATGAACACAACAGCACTTCTTGCATCTCTTCGCAATGACTACAAAGGCTCATAAATAAACTAGCAAACTGCAGTTAATGAGACATTAGCATCATTTCATTCTAACAAACACTATAACGCAATCACATACAATCGTGCATAACTCTCACTCAGCAATAGAACATCAATGTCAGCACAGTGAATACACAGACAAAGCATCTCAAACAGGACGAAGTGAACAGATAGACAGGAGTAAACAAATGCACTGACTACAAACAAGTGTACTCGATGCAAATATGCAGAGCGTACCAACATGGTGTTGTTGAATTAGCCTAAGTAGATGCTGTTCCTTATGTTATTCACAAACTGAGTACAACTCCTGGCCCACTTCTGTACTACCACAAAAGGAAAACGAACGTCCACCAATCTCACCACTTCGGGAGACTTGTCTCCGAAAAGGACCGCTATGTGGAAGCTGACGAACTCCCGATACAATGCAGCTGAGTAGTAGCTCATCACGTGAGCCGCTGCAAGGAACGGGATCAGTCGCCATTGCTGAAAAATCAAAAGAAAAAATACATGTGGAGCACTACTGGTAAGCCTACACAGCACCTCCTGAAGGGCTTCCAAGCCACTTTTTCAAGTAATCAATCCTTAGAAGGCTTCAGTATCGAAGTTTATCGCCTCACAAATCGGCTACCACAAAAGTTTCTCGTATTCGTCAAGAATGAGTGAAGTCACGTGGGTTTGTTGCGTGCTATCTCTCTTCTCCTGCTGTAATGAGTGCACTGGAAGCTACACACGGAGGAAGGAATGGCATGGACGAAATAAGCTATGTCAGCACACATCATGACCTGCAGCATGTGTGATGAAACAGAATTGCTCTCTCTCACTGTTATTTTTGAGTGCAAGTGTGATGCACAGTGTAATGTTCGCAAACTAGGGCGCTGCCTATAGCACATGGCGGGACCTCATGGCAAGAAGCGCATCTGACACAAAAACCAACTTGATTTATGTCCGCTATTGGGCAACAACATGCTATCTGCTGCTCAATATCAGCCAACAGGCACCAGAAGATCTGAAGACAGTGAGTACAGGCCTCTGCGAAGAATAGGGCGCTTGTGAAAATGGCCACTTCACGCTCCATTTGTAAGCTCACACATGACTTGCTGCACATGACTGCAAGATTTGGCCGAGACATTCATAGCAGTGTCTGCTATCCAAAAGGTCTGTTTTCTCACCAGGCATGAGATGTGGTTCAGGACCCCTTTAAAAGATTCACTGGCATACAAAGCAGCGTACTTACAAAGCCTTACAGAATGCTGTTTGTATGTGCTCTGCTCCTCCAGCTGCATATATGTGCAGTCGGGAACTCAACTGACCACTTTTACGATCCCGATAATCGTCTGCATGACAACTGCAGCCAGATTGTACCTGCAGCTGGTATTCGATGACGGGCAACTCTTCCTGGTTCTCTGGACCAAACTGGCGACGTACTGCTGAGTACCGGGTCGAGATGACAATGCTCTTGATCAGGTTTGTGGTGCAGATGCCTACAATGGCGACACGTCCCATAGACAGGGAGCCCAGGGTCATTCCAAACCTCTTCTTTGGATCCTAACCATGCAAAATCGATACACAAGCATGCGATCAGTATGGGAAATAAATGGTACATACTGCTCAGTCATAATGATCGAAGGCAAGAAGAGCACTAAGCAATGTCGTAAATAGTACAGATCAGAACAAAAAAAGCTGTTTACATGATAGGTGACCAACGAGTCTCACGCGATGAAAATGCTCGGTCTGAATTATTATGCTACTTACACACCAGAGCGAACTGTTCAATAAAATACAGGTAAATCCCTTTATAAGAGCCATGCTCTAAACAGCAGTTATTGTCTTTTATATGAGATGTCTCTTATAAGCAGGGTACCTCATATGCATTTTCTTATCGACCCGTATTTTACCGTAGGCCTACTGGTGTCTGTTATACCCATTGGTCTTTTATATCAGTGTCTTTTATAAGGGGGTTCAGCTGTATTGATCATGGCTTAAGACATATTTTCAGGGTTAGAGAAAAATAAAATACGTGACAAATCTTCTGTTCTAATGAATTATTGTTGTTTTAACATCCCAAAACCACAATATCTTTAAAGCGTACCGTAGTTCGAGAGATGCTGGGCTCGGGAAATTCAGACCACTCATGTTTCTTCAACAAGTAGCAAAAGTCTACCTTTGGGTTAGCAGCCAAGTAGTACTGAAACCACTAGAACATTATGTGATAGGTAATTTCTGTTCTAAAATGCTTCCAATCCCTCAATGATGCATGTTTATGAGGTGGTAATATCTTCAATATGAAGTGACATACGAGATGAAAGCTATAGTTAAAACACAGCTGTCATGCTTCGTCAATACCTCTCAGTACAGTCATGCCTGCATAACACCCACATTAACAGGATGAATTTCACTCAATTACCTGGCTATGAGACATTCTGCATATAGTATAAAATGTACCTGAAATGTACTTTTTTTCATATGTATACTAAAACTTGAATAGTAACTTAATAAGGTCTTCCGTAGAGCACCTTCAGTCTATTCATGCAGAATTTAACCTTTATGATGCCATGATTATGAAGAGGTCAAATCATACTTGTTCCAAATTTGTCAGCTCCAAGCTTGGCCCACGAAAATTTAATGGGCTAGTTTAAAATGGTCATTTGCCACTTGGTGCACCATAACAAACTTCATGTAGACATAATTACGAGTCCTTCAGACTGAGTTTAGTAGCAGAGAAAGCATAAATCAGAAAACAAACTTTCAAGTGTCTTACTTTCAGTGGTGTAACGTATTCCCCTTCAGGTGTCACGTCCGCAGTCCTGTTTAGCAGATTTTCCCGGGGTATCCGGTAGTCATGAAAAGACAGAAACCTGCACAGACAAAAGTTATATTTGCTTCAGTTACTGCCAAAAACAGTTCCTTCGGTTACTGCTAGATAGGCTTAAAGGGACCGTCTACCGCTCGAAAAAATGCTTTTTATTGCGACACGAATGAGAGGATCGCTCATCACATCGACAATGATGAACATGCTTTTGTCCCATAAAAAAACGAGTATTAATTTTAATCTGATGTCGAAAGTCGACAAAAAATGACCGCTAGCGTCACCCAACATCGATGTGGTCAATCTACTAATATAAAAAGAAATCCTTGCAGGTAGATCTATTTTGCTTAATAATAAACACGTATGACTTGAAATTGTGTTTAAGCGCATGAGACAGCTTTAGGTTGCACCAGATACCATTTCTTTTTTCATGAATTCGAAGAGGCACCTAGTGGTACTGACAACAGTGGGTTGTCAGCACCACCAGGCTTGGCTGTCTGCCTGCCTGCAAAACGGCAGAGATACTTGAGCATGGCCTCCGCTCTTTAGAACAGCAAAATAACAAACAGGAGTCACCAAATGCAAATTGTGTAATGATTCGGTCGTCCAATGCTTCAACCCATCACAAAGGCTTGTTCTTAATCCCCTATTAACTGTGGCGCACACCCACTTCAGGCATAATTCTTTACCGTCGTCAGCCACTGCATAAAAAATTGCCACAAAATTACTTGCATGTGTGTAGCGAATACCATGCTTCTCTGAAGAATCGCGAAGGATAGCATAATGAATGCTGGCCTACTACACAAATGTTATGATTATTTATGGCATATCGGGTGTGCTTGTAGCAGTTACCCAAACAGTGTTTACAAAATGCCCTGAAAGGCCGCTCTTGCAGCCTTCACTGTCACTGTGCCGCGAATTCCACACAGGCACGGTGTTTTTTATTGATAAACAAAACTTGATGAAGCTCGTAAAAACCACACACGGTTTCAGTTTTCAACTTTCACCAACAGTACAATTGTCATCGCCTCCACGAACCAGTGTTGTGGGCATTTATCCCACCGCTCGAAGGTGCTGAATGCGCAGAAAAAAAATTTTGTGTTATTAATTTCTATACACTTCCCAGAGAAAGCGCTGCAAGGTTAGACACTTCAGATAACCCTTTTTATTGTGACACTGACAGAAGAGCCGTGAAGGGCGGAAGACAATTCCTTTAACATTATGGCATTGCATCACTGGTGGCATTGCATCACTGGGTGGCACTTTAACATTATGGCATTGCATCACTGGCACATGCAAATAGGTAACCATGTGACAAAGAAGTTGTGTCTAACAAAAATATGCATGTCTTTTTCACATAAGCAAGCCTGGTAATATTAAATATAAGCAGAAAAAATGGAGCTGTGTCAATGTAATATACAAATGCAATAATTTTCGTGTTCAATAAATCAGTTCAATATCATGGGCATTGGCCAGGAACTGCACAAGGGGAATCTACCCTTTCAAGTCACACTAGCAGTTGCATGCCCTAAGCAAACGATCTTAAAGTGATCTCAAAGGCCAGAGTCGCAAAGGCCAGAGTCACAGAAAATATTTACCAAGGAAAAGGCCAGGACAGTGAAGCAAGTAGAACAAGGGGGAAAACGGGGTTAGTCAGCACAACATGTAATCTAACGTTGCCATTTGAAAGGCCTTCTTCATATCCCATTAACGACTGATGTGGGTCACATATCTATACACTCAGACCTCTATGTAACGAACATGAATGTAATGAATTACCGGTCACATTGAATTCAAGGAAAAATAGTCTTGCAATAGATACAGTGTTAGGAATAAACCTTCGCAATGAATTTTCGGATATAACAAACTCATTTTTGTGTTAGATGCAACTTTGTTATAAATGAGGTTTTAGTTTGGCGATTTCCAAGCTGACTAGAAGCTGGACGTCTAAATCTTCATTTCACCGCTATGTATCAACACATCGTGACGACAGAGGGTGCCTCACAAAAAGAAATGCTGAAAACCAGTAATGTCTATAAGTAGCACATAAACATACTAATTAAAAAAAAGAAAGAATACAACGTAGAGAATGTGCTTAAAGTGCAAGCCGTGAATGATAGGTCGGTGGGCCGCGTGTTTGAGACACCTGCCCGAAGTCATACGAAGCTCTCCCCTTCCCCCTGCACTCCTTTGCCCTATGTTCGCTATAAATATTGATGGCCATTTCGCGGATTACCAATAGCAACACCCATGAAGAAAGCAGTTATTCCAGTCTTCTTCACCATCCATGCAAGCTGTGCAAACTGCACGTTAACAGGAAACGTTCACTAACCAGCTGCCGAACAGCTAAATCAACAACAATGCTTATGCAAGTCCAAAATGTGCCGTATCATGTCGCTCTTGATTGCCACAGTTATAAGAACATTTACCATAAGAATCATGATATCTGTAAAAATCACAACTAAAAGGACAAGTTAGTTTAATTAATTGCAAATAATTACTTGGACAAAAGTGTACCTGAAATTTCTTGACAAAGTTTCTAACGATTTGGAGCTTGTCTTGCCTGTTTCAGTTTTCCAAGTGAAGCTTGTTATGAGAGTTCAGTGGTAGCAGCAGTGTTACATGCAAAAGACCTTGCACCAGTGACGTTTTTTTTGTAGTTTTTTTTTAAAACAAGGCCCCCGAAAGTGTGCCGGTACTATGCACATTTGTATGTACCGTTTCCCGGTAACTGACGGCTTCACGATCGTGAACTGGTCGGCGATGTGCTGTTTTTCATATGGCAATCTGATGTTTTATCAAGGTCATTTGTCATTTCATATTGCCATGCTGCATTGTGACTTCGATTTGAGCGCATGAACATTGTCATAGCCCGTAGCAACTGAAGTGTTGCACTGCCAAGCACGTGGAAGAAAGGCCCTATCACCAGCATGAATGAAAAAAAAAATCAAGAGAAAGAAACGAGCAAGGAGACAAAAAAAACAAAGATGGAACACTAGTACTATGCCAAGCATGCACGGACTCATTTTCCCAGTAAGAGAAGGACTCCTTAACTACTTTTTTAAATCCTTTTGTTTTTCATTCTCTCAAGATCAGAATGTGCAGAGGCTCAAAAAGGAGAGCATGCTGACGTCACAACTCTCCTGATAAAGACAAGAGTTTGTGGCAATGTGACATGTTTTCTTTGAAACAGAGAAGCGGATCGCTTCAAGGTAAGGATGCCTCTTGTTATAAAGGAGAATGACACTGACCCATTGTCGATGCCATTGAGGCCCAGCTTGGGACCCATGTCGCCCACGAGGACACCTGGGAACGGAAGCAGAGTCTTGCGGTTTCTGATGGGAACAATGAAGGCGTGCAGGCCCCGGTTCTTCCTATCGGCTGTCAGCAACTGAGCAAACACAATGGCATCTGTAGCCGTCTGCCCCATGTTTCCTGACCAGACCTTGATGGCTTCAATGTCCGGAGTGTTCAGAACGAACTCCTGCACAGTGAAAAGATAATAAGACAACTGTTGGAGCTTTATGTCCCAAAACCCCAAAATAATTATGAGGGGCACCACAGTAAGGGGCTCTGGAAGTTTCGACCACTGGAGCCAATGTTTTGACAAGCAGATGTGTCCTTGCTGCCTTGACAAAGACGAGCCTGCTTGCCAGCTTTATGAACACACCCTATTTAAATATTTTTTCACCTCTTCACAAAAAAAGATTGCACCAGCTGCAAAGACACCTATCTTATCTCAATATACGTGCAGCGAGACAGCCCTCTGGAATATTGAGACCTTATATAATGTGTGTAAAATAAAAATTACAGAACAGTGCGACAATGCAGTAAAGACTACTTTGGTGACCAGAGCTCGTGTGAGGCTCTAGATGTACAACTTTTATGAAAGCTTAACATATGAAATGCTAAGAAACTTATCTTGCATTTCTAGAATTTCTTATTTTCTGAACTTTGACAAAAAAAAATGCAATAAAAAGGAAGATCACAATGTAGGCTTTGGATGCTCCAAACAAGAATTCCTAAATTTCTGTGGTTAGAGCTACCATGGTGGGAAGATCGTTAACATACTGGTAACGTAAATTGTAACGCAAAGGGTGACTTCCAGGAAGAATAAAAATAGAACAAAAACAAATAACTGTGTGCCTCAAAATACTTTTCAGACAACTTGAATTTTGTTATTCCATTGTAATATGAAGGTTGACTTCAGGTAGCAAAAATAGAGAAAAACCTTGCGTTACATTCAAGTAAGCAAGGTAAGTTGGTTGGCTGGTTAGTTGGGAAACTTTATTGTGGTCCTGCAAGGCGTGCATGAGCGCGCAGCGGGCGACTTCCACGTCGGGATCGTTAGGCCAAGCCTAACGGTCCCGACGCAATGTAAGTGTCCATCAAAAATTTTGCTGCATCCCAATCCTTTTTTTTTTAAGCTAAGTCGTAACTTACTGTACACTTATAAATTGGGACACAAGGAACTCAGCTGGACATTAAAATTACTATAAACACAAAAATACAACACAGCAATGTGATCAGTATAGCACTCTTGTACGAATGGAAGCCCAGTGATATCAGAAATTAAGAAGAGAAAGCAAGCTTTTTGATCTCTCATTACACCCTAAAGTCCCAACTTTTGTTTGAGACAAATGTAAACGGCCTGAGGAAACTGATGCAACAGTACAGTGTGACAGCTTCTGACATTGTATTGTTGTTTTAGGGATGCCTTGTCACCATCTTCAATGACAATGTTGCTGGTCAGACTTTTGGCCTCGTACTTTTCTCTGTGTCTCTCTATACAGCATGCAACTTATCAGAATATTAGTACACTGCATGATTGGTTCTCCCAAGAGACATCTAGCTTCTATGCGGCCTTGTACAAAGTCCTGAACATAGATAATGTTGTCCGATGAGCCCAGTGAAATGTTTTTCAGAGGAGAATGGCGACACTTAGTTACAGATTGGGAAATACATCTAATAAAGCAATTAATGAAATGTTTTGCTTTGTAAAGCTATGCTTGAAGTCGAATAAAGCTTCTAAGTGTTCAAGTGCCCGGAACATCTGCCCTCTTTAACTATACACAGATAAACTCAGAATTGTGAATGAAACTCCACAACTGCATCAAATGACCGAGACAACTGCAAAACGACACAAAAAGTAATGTAATTGGCAGGGTACTTAGCATTATTTTGTACCTTTACCATGACTACAATGAAAGAAAATGTGAAACGTTACTCATCCATACTGACGAGTGGCAAGTATATACTTATAATATCACATAAATATAATGAGAGCACGTTTGCTTGAGCCCACTTTTATTTGAGCATGGTATGACTGTACCATATGTTGCTTCTAAAACAAAAGAACACGTAAGGTGCTGTCACTTGCCTGTGTGTTTGGATCGTACAGTGCTTCCGTCCGCATGGCTCTTGTATTTGTTCCATGGCTAAGCTCAGTCAGGGCAAAGCATCCAGCTGCCTAGCAGTTAAAAAAAAACATACAAAAATGTCACAAGAGCTAAGCCAATCCGATGGAGCAACTCCAAAGGGCTTACCTCAAACTTCAGTATTTCGTCGAATATCCGCATGTGCCTTTTCGTTCCCAGTCCCCTAACAGCTCCAATAAACATCTATGCAAAAGGAATGGAAAAGTAAGAAACACATCCCTTGAATCACCTTGTAGCACCAAAGCCCATCTCAAATCAAAGTTGCTGTAGTCAACGCTTTTTTTTTTTTTCAGAAGCTCAAGACTAACCCTTTCTGGCCCAATTACGGGAGGGTTCATGATGAGGCTTTGCTCAACAAGTTCTTTTGTGAGTGTTCTTACACCGAATTATACGCTATCTCTAAATGAGCAAGTACACTTCTTTTACTTGGGCTTTGCTTTCTTTAACTTCTTACCAAAACAAAAGAAAGACGGACAAAGGTTTTGGACAACAAAGGGTCAAAACACATGCAAGAGCCCTTGAGTAGTTAAGGGGCAAATGTAAATAATTAGATTTAGATATATATTCAACTCTCGAATGGCACCAAGAAAATTTAACTTTCCAAATGCACTTAAAAACATAAGGCATGCCAATTCCACGTCATGAACTACAAACATTGAATGCACAAGTGCATGTTCTGCACAAACAAAAAAAAAACGAGAAATGCACACTTACATCAAAACAAAGAACTTTCTTGATGGAAAGAGACCAGTCATAAGCCCCGATGCAGTTGTTGCACGCAGATGAAAGGAATGGGTTTTGGAAGAACTCCTCCTGAGAGTAGAACTGATATTCAAAGATGCGCTTCATTCGCCGGAAGCACAGGTGACGGTGCTCTTCCAAGGTGATGTCATCAAAAGGCTGACGGGCAAACAGCGGGTCATTCTCCAGAGTCTTGAACACCTTAGCCTGGGCGCGAAGACGATGCAAGAAGCAAAGTTTAATTGTAGAAGCTGTGGGACCTTAAAATTTGAATTAAATGTGTACTGCCTACTACTTTTTGTCACTTCATCAGGTGCCTTTCTCTGAACAACAATCTTCTGTTTAGGTTTTTTTTTTCTTTTTCAAACTTTCACTGAACAATAACCCTTATTTTCTAGTGTTTCAGCTTCAATAAATGACATTGGATTCTTCAGCATTGGTTGAGCCGACTAAATAAGCTGCTTTAAACCAAAGTAAAGGCACTGAAATTTTGGCCACACAGCTGAGAAAAAGACAAGTTTTTTTACGATACGTGAAGGTCATAGAGTGCCAGTCTGTAGATATTTTGCACCTTGTGTAGTGTGCTATTCATTGGAACTCATGCATGTTATCTTCACTTCTTTCCCTCTATACGTAGGGTAGGAAATCTGTTAAAAATACTAAAATTAACCACTGTATTTTTATTCTCTCTCTTTCTCTCTCTCAGTTTACAGTTCCTGATAGAAATATCGGTCTACAAATGCCTTTAAATGCATATAATATAAACAGAAAGAATGAAACATTAAATATGTCAAAATATAATAAAGGGCCCTCAGGTGTCAGAGCCCAGAATTGATGAGAAGAGAACAAATAAGGAAAGCTTCGTTGCAAAGCCAACATTCCAACAAGGAAAGGCTCCTTCAGGCCTCACATAAAGTATGGGCACCCTGTGATGAAATAAGCTATGTTGTAATCTCAATAATGGTTGTGATGAGTCACCATGATAAGTGGCTGAGCTGGCTTAGTAGGATGTTCACTGAAGCATGCAATTTACCGTGTGCAATACATGTGCATAACATTACCACCTACATAAGAAAGACCAGATTGTAGGTCTCGTTGACAGCAAAGGGTACACTGTGTCAGATTCATCTCATACAAAACAGATAAAACTTGAAGTAATCGCAGTTTTTCACTTCTCCTATATTTTCTCATAAAATCAAACCCACGAAAAGTTGTGAAAGTTCAAGAAAACCACTCACCCTGCATTTAAACATTCTACACACTTGCCAGAGAAACTGCCGCAAGGCTAGACACTTCAGATGATACCCTTTTTATTGCGACACTGACAGAAAAGCAGTGAAAGATGGAAGACAATTCCTTTAACATTACGGAATTGCATCACTGGTGGCATTGCATCACTGGGTGGCACTTTGAACATTTGCCGTGGCTGCATTTCTGATGGAGGCGGAAATGCTGTAGGCCTGTGTGCTCAGATTTGGGCGCACGTTAAAGGACCCCAGGCGATTGAAATTTCCGGAGCCCTCCCCTGGGGCGTCTCTCATAATGATATGCTGGTTTTGGGAAGTTAAACCCCACATATCAATCAATCAACTTTAACATTGCGATTTGATTTCAGATAGATTTGAATATCTGATAGTAAACTTTATTATTAAAAAACTGCAAGTTTAAAGCTAAAATACTTTTTATATAGTTATGATTAAGACATGGTTTCTAGTATTATGTAGTGAAAAAATGTAGCACAGGCATTACCAGTTGACAAAAACGTGACATGTGGGTAATGAACTCGGGCATGGTAGAAAATATTTGTGAAATATAAAATCTACGCTTCATTACCATTCAATACACTGTGTTGCTTTGCTACAATGCAGAAATATGCAGATGCTTTTTCAAGTTTTTATGTTTTTTAACACACATTTCTTTAACTTTTACATACGCAAGTAGTCGCTCCAGACTCCAATGTGTAAACACGTCCTCATTAGGACCCAAGGTTCACGGACACAAATTCTCATCCTGCCACATCTACAAAATTTCTAACATCATTTTAACAAGCATTCAATGTAGATATTGTCTATAGAAAATTATCTGAAGGCACGAATGTTATTATCACTTGCACAGTTGTACTCTGATAAGTTGAAAGAAGACTGACTTAGTCACCTCAATAAGTGAGACAATGTGTAGCAAAAAGCGAACAGATGAGCCGTGACATCTTTGCACACTGGACAGTTCACATGCTACGACGTGGAACAGGTGTTACGTTTGGCATCCCTGTGCACATTGCTTTGTTCACCGGTCTCAACTTTAATGAGGAACTTGTGAGCTATAATACCAGTGAATTTGATGCTTCTCAAGACTCTGTTCATAGAAACCACTGAAAAGATCACATATAGAAAGGTCACTTTGTTTTCCTTTGTATTTTATCTTTTAAAAAGATACCCGCAGTAAGAGAGTGGCAGATTCAAATATTAAATAAGGAGCCTATTTGATTCATCACTGGGATGACTACATTACTCTTGCATGTTTTGGAAATCTGATAAACGTAATGTGGCACGTGTGAGGAAGTTGATGAACTTAAATTAAAAAGCACAAATAATAATCATGATATAGGAAGCTAATTTAGCTGCACAAACACTCAGGTCCCCGGAACATCACAGATTCCAATGCATTGTGTTTCACACTTGTTTCACGTTTATTCAGGTCCAGGGAAATAAGACAGCTCTGTTACTAGTTCATTTTCCTCATGATCACACCGAGAAATTCGCGATGACTTGAGGTTACTGATGCTGAAGGAAATCTCCCAGCAGCAATTTCCACAGGTTCTATTTTCCGTGTATGTTTTGGAAATCTGACAAATAGGATGTGGTAGGTGCGAGAAAATTAATGAATAAATTAAAACTGACGCGCAAGAAGGACAATTACGATACAGCAAGCAAACTTGGCTCTCAACCATTTTGAATACATAATCGTTTCCTGGTAGGCGGCATAAAAAGCACCTGGAGGCTGAATCTCTAAAGGAAAGGACATGAATACTTTCGTCCTGGTCTATTTGGCTACACTAAGTTTTTTTTTTTTTTTCCATCAAGCTTATCTTTTTGAAAGTAGAAAAGAAGTGGTATGACACAAAACTGGCCTGTCACTGTCAACTGTCGTTTTCCTTTTGCCTTGCACGCGTTCATCGCATGAATGCGGAGCAATACGAGTCCATGTCAGAAGTGAATTCGTACTCATTCCACTAAATTACACATCTATGTTTCTGTAGTCTGATGCTTTGCGCTCAATTCGCGCAGCTTCAGGCGACGGCCACTTTCATTCGTCACTCGCTGACGTAATTAAGACATGCAGCCGAGCAACAAGCACGAGGAAACTGATAAGCAACACTTCTGGCAACGTACGAATACGCGTCTTAAAGCAACAACCTTTCTTGTTTCACTGTTACGAGTAATGCACAGTTTGGCTAACCAGTTAGCCAAGCACGATAACTGCGATAACATATCAGCACCTCGCACACTAGCTGCGCATCACATGTCGCGCGAATGCGCTCGTGCCTTCGCCACTAGCTCGCGCCTTCGTACCTTGAAACGTATAATGTCTTCGCCCTCCAGGGCCACTTTCAACTTTCGCCAATCGAAGGAGGCCAGCTTCCTATAATTGTCCAAAGGTCCCGACGGGAACGAAGGCATGTACTCGAGAACGGAATCGGAGTTCTCATCTTGGGACGACATGACAAGCGGACGGTCGTTGAGCTTTTGAGTCCCGTTCAGCTAGTGTCATACGCCGCGGACAGCATGGGGAAAGAGTTCAATTATCTCCGCTTCGACTGTGCTCAATGTTGCGAAAGAAAGCAACAAATAAACGAAACCGCGCAGCGCCTAATACTTTTCCGCAATTCCGAAACACACGGACCATACAGGTTTTAACAGTGTGAGAAAGAGCAGCGACAACTTTTTCTGTGTACTACACGGGAGACAAGGCTCTAGTAACTACTGTGGTCTTAAAAATAACTGAATAATGGCAGCCAACAATTATGTTTAAAGCAATTTTTATCATAAGCTTTTGCTTTAGGACTAAAACAAAACACAAATATTAATGATCTTTGACACAATAGTTAAGCGTAACTTGTGGCGAAATGCACTAGTGACAGTGAACTAAATGTAACTGAATAAATTTTTTAACATTAAAAAAAATTACATGAGCACTTTGTGTTTTGCTTTTTTAGTCAAGAATTTGTAAGTATCTTACACGACAAAAAACACTAACTTTTTTTAGATTAAATGAAAAAGCCACTTAAGGTTGAGTCAAGCTTATTTGACCGCGCGGTTTATTCAAATTTATAGTGCCGTCAGCTTCTTGCAAACATTTTCATTTTTGACAGATATTAGTCACCATGCGCTGTCTGCGCCACTATTTCTCACTGAAAGGTGAGGGCGCGATCTGTGGACCTACGCAAATTCAGTCAGGCGCTGAATAAACAGTGATACTGCAACATCATATGTTTTTTTGAGTTTAAGTTATGTTTAAACTTGGTGAGCTTCGTTACAGCGTTGCCAAAATGCATGAGACAAGGCACTGTAGCAAAGTTAATCTGCAGAATGTGACCTCCAACTGAACGGCTCAGGCAACTGAAGGTTCAATTGCACATTCTTTCAATTAACTACCTTCATCAATTGTTTTAGGCCACATGACGGTATACTGGTGTACCGGGCCCCCTCGCGAAATTCGGATGGGGGGGGGGGGGTGTTTTACCGTGAATAATAAAATTAAGTGTTGTTCAAGGCCTCAAAGAAGTGCTCCTCCCGCTCTACCGTACCCCTTCGAGAAAATTCGGGGCTACGGGTTTCATGGGTGGGTTTATGTTACCCACTGCTTCAGCAGCAGTGTTCCTTATACCAAGTGTGACGATCAGAGAACGCTTCCATCTAGATCACCGAATGACATCGACTGCAGCAAAGATTGTGGCCTTCCACGAGGTAATTCATTATGTAAAGACGCAGCCTTCTCGCAAATGGTCTAGATTTTGTAACTGTAAACCAAAGCTTCAAGTTATTGATTCTGCACTTAAACAGGGCGACATGATATTTTTGCTCAAGAAGTGAGCGAGTCACAATATGTATCACTGAAAACTGGCCATCGCATAAAGTATTAGTCAATTCCTCGGCGCTGCAACCTGCATGGAAACAAGCTGATGTGGAAGCAAAGATGGCCAATGTTAACACCATTATTATGGTCCATTCCATTTTCATGAACGGATAATAACGCCATTGTGTATACACTCTTTCTTGAAACTACAGAAGTATATAAATCTTTACCAAGTCATTGTCATTCCCATTTTCACGAACTCTACCTAGACATGCACATTTGAACACCGCCAATGATGAAAAGGTGCACTATACAAGCTTATTGCACAGACTACGCTTGGCGATCCATCACTGATACTTACTCCTTATCGGCTGTGCAGAGAGTTCAAATTGTGACTATGTGGCACTCCTGTTGCGCAAACAAGTTCTATGGCCACTTTCTTGTTTAAATATCTACGAAGCAACAGGTATCAAAAAGAGTTCTATCGAGAACGCCACTTTGTCATCAACGCCATATATTTTAAAAATGGTGAGCAAGTTTTTACTCTAAACTGATCTCGACCAGGGACCGTTTCTCTTCCTCATTAAAACATCTCTTCTCGTTTTACACTCTACGCTACTTTTTTAACGGTGAGTAGCAGGTGAGAAAATTTATTCAGGCCGACCTCCCAGCTTTTCTGTCACAAAAAAGTCCTCTCTCTCCATTAATAATTTTCTCACCTTGACACACTCTATCCACTACTTTTGAGAATGGCAATGTTTGCAGCCACACTACTAAAGAGCGTACACCATGAACACCAAGCAATCAGACTCTCTGCAGGACAGTTGAGCTCTTGTAGAATAGTTGGCCAATTTAAACTCCCGAAGTAGTTCACTTTAGTGTCCCTTGATGTAAGCAAAGTTTTCGACTGCCAACACAAACGACTTTCCACACAATATGCTTCCACATTTTCACAATCCAGATGGGAATAAGTTACCACTGATATTACTCGAGGTACGTTTCATAACGAAACTTGCATTGTTTCACATAAATTTTCATTGCACTATCTGCTATTATACAACCAGAGATGTAGGATTTCTGAAAATTTTGTTACAAGAACAGAGTAATTCATTCTGCTTCATTTACTAGCAACTGAAGTTCCTTTTGATGACAAAACAGTGTTTCGATGCTCACGGGATGAGCTTTCCGAGATTACACTCTGGATACTGACGAACGTTAGAAAGATGAAAGATGTTGTGTCCGTGCCATCTAGCACTCGAGGGAATGCTGCAATTTGCAGAACAGCTCCATGCTTATGAATCACTCCGAAGGAAGACTCCAAAAAAAAGAGAATTCGCAGAGATTTCTCTAACAATGTAATGAGACTGCACACTTCTCATCAAGCAACGAAATGTACCATGAGAATGAGAGTTATTCCAAATGAGGCACTGGGGGACACAGCACGCCTGTCCTATATGACTTCTTTTCTGAAATCTTCTGCGCACAAAAAAAGTACAGCCAACTCTCGTTAATTCAAACTCAGAGGGACCTCTGAATTTTGTTTGAATTATCAGTAGTTCTCAAATACTACTATACAACTCCAGGTGGGGTGACACCATGCATTATGATTAGGCATTGATTTTATCACATTTAAAAAAATTTTATGTGTTTTCAAGTTCCAGCTGCACGCAATGAACACAAAGCAAAAGTGCAAGTAAATGGCCAAGTTTATTGGCTATTTACTGCTGATCAGACCTTTTGAAGAAATCGTGAATTGCCAACTGCTTCTTAGCTATATGTGCCTTTAGCACAAATCTTTCTCTATACCAGTTGAGAAGCATCTCGGTTTACCATGCGTGTGCTTCATTTCAAACATTTGTTTACTAGCAAACCCTTTTTCCTAGAAAGCCTGAGGTGCTTATTTTCCATTTTTAGGCTGTCAGGATTATATAGGCATGCAAATTTTTAAATAGTAGCGAGAAAGCAGCAGATTTCTTCTGGTATGGAACTGCAAAAAGTATGAATTAACCGCATGATGGAGTTTGAATTAAAAGGCCTTTAAAACATTAAAACAATAAAGGACCAACCAAAAAACTGAATTTTGTTTGAATTAACCAAAAGTTTGAATTATCAGAGTTTATTGAGAGTCTACTGTATATTCCTTTCAGAATTTTATCACTCAGAGGACGAATTGCAACTCATGATTACGGAGTTAGACAAGGAGAGCAGAAAGGTGGGTCTTAAAATTAATCTGCAGAAAACGAAAGTAATGTACAACAACCTCGGAAAGGAGCAGCGCTTCGAGATAGGTAATAGTGCACTTGAAGTTGTAAAAGACTATGTCTACTTAGGGCAGGTAATAACCGCAGAGCCTAACCACGAGATTGAAGTAACTAGAAGAATAAGAATGGGGTGGAGCACATTCGGCAAGCACTCTAAAATTATGACAGGTAGATTGCCACTATCCTTCAAGAGGAAGGTATACAACAGCTGTATCTTGCCGGTACTTAGCTACGGAGCAGAAACCTGGAGACTTACAAAGAGGGTTCAGCTTAAATTGAGGACGACGCAGCGAGCAATGGAAAGAAAAATGGTAGGTGTAACCTTTAGAGACAAGAAGAGAGCAGAGTGGATTAGGGGACAAACGGGGGTTAAGGATATCATAGTTGAAATAAAGAAGAGGAAATGGACATGGGCCGGGCATGTAGCGCGTAGACAGGATAACCGCTGGTCATTAAGGGTAACTAACTGGATTCCCAGAGAAGGGAAGCGGGTTAGGGGGAGACAGAAGGTTAGGTGGGCAGACGAGATTAAGAAGCTTGCGGGTATAAATTGGCAGCAGCAAGCACAGGACCGGGTTAACTGGCGGAACATGGGAGAGGCCTTTGTCCTGCAGTGGACGTAGTCAGGCTGATGATGATGATGACCTTCCAACCCAAATAGCCGCCCTTTTGTAGGGAAAAAAACCATGTCAACGCTCCCTTGCTTTCACAAGACATATGCTTAGTGTAGCATTGAATATGTTTAATCAAACATCAAGCTACTTATTGTATGTGTAAGATGGTAAACTATGGAGGGTAACGCAAAAAGCTTCACTCATTTTCAATCGCCAATTACAGTGAGATTGTTAGAATTTCTGTAGACTTTGTAATCCTTATTTTTTTCCTCTGCTGCTTCTGTGAATATTAGATTTAAAGCACCCAGTAACTTTCCTTTGGGTGCTATTACACTGGGTAACTTTTCCATTTGATTACACACAGGCCCAAGTCATTATGCTAGGAATGTCATGAAAAAGTATAACTTGTTATGCAAACAAAAGAACAGGTAACTGCGAAATGCACAAGGCAGAACAACCTGAATGTTTCGGTTTGCCAGTCAAGGTGGCTTCAAAACGCAAAAAACAGTCTACAACCGTGATTCTCAAAGAGGGTTCTGTGAATTTATGAAGCTATTTTTGTGGTTCCACGAAACCCGTCCTTGAGAAAAAAAAAGCGTGTTCTGTAGGCACATCGTTCACCGACAGCAACACTTCATGAATTTTGATATGCTTCACTCCTTAACTAGTTGTTATGCTAGTTGTTATGGTCTATTACAAAGAGTGTAGCACTTGCTTATGCTTCGTTAACTTGTACTTCTCCGTTTCGACAATACCAGAATGATGTTTACATATCTCGGTCCTGTAATTTAAAACAAAATGTATTTTCTTGATTCATGGATATATGTTCCCGTCATTTTTCTGTTTAATGATAATGAGTCAAGACGATTCCTCTCATAAATTATAAAAATCAGAATTACACACTATTTTGGATTAGATAGTCAACAGCCGGGTAGTAAAAAAGTAGTAACAAGGCAAGAAAGGTAGTAACGGCTGACGTTCTTACCTCGCTCATTCCAGTTACTATCTGTTTACTAACGTAGGTAGTAAACAGGTCACAAAAAGTTAATAACGGTTGAAGCTAGTAACTGTTTACTAACGTAGGTGCAAATGTGTTAATAACACATTTGCACTGCTGTAGAGCTGATTTTACGACATATGCACATAAGCATACTTCTTATAGCCCTGCAGATTTGAAGAGGTAACACAGCTAGACATAAGTTTAACATGGCAGCAGACAGCATAGCTAGTTCACGCACAGTTGAGATTAAATTGACGATCAAGGATTTTTGCAGTTATACCATAGCTTTTCTGAGATAAATTAAAAAAAATGGCAGCATATCCACGGAGTGAATGATGGAGAGTGGGGCGAAGCATTCGTCCGTCCATGCGTCCGTCTGTGTGACCGTCCATGCATCTGTTTGTGCGCCCGTCCCTGCGTTCTTTCATGCATCCGCCCCTGCGTCCGTTCATGCGTCCATCCATGCATCTGTTTGTGTGTCCGTTCGTTCATCTATTCAACACTCCAAGTCCCACCATCTCGCATCTTTTTATCATATATTCCCCATATAGAAGCACCGCCATCTAGCGGACATTCCAAGGACTAAACGAGAGGTGGCACACGCACACTTTCTTACGGCCTGCGCTTTGGGTCCACTTCCCACCTTTAACCACCTCGAGTTCATGGTATATTCTAGTTCACTGTATTCATGGCACTGCGACTAAACGCTCGCTAAACCTTTCGAAAACCAAGGAGGTTACGCCCAGCGAGTATAACGTAGCAACCTTTCCCTGTCAGATAGGGCTCAATTTACATGCCAATGGCTGCTAATGAGAAATGAGAGACAGGAGAATTCGACTTTTACTTTCTTACAGCTTGCGCTTCGTATCTACTTCTCATTTTTAACCACCTTGAGTTCATTCATGGTATATACAAGTTCATTGTATTCATGGCACTGCGGCTCAACGCTCGCTAAACCTTTCTACAGCTAAGGAGGTTACACCCAGCGAGTATAATGTAGCATCCCTTTCTTGTCCGATAGTGCTCAATGTACATGCCAATGGCTGCTAATGGGGATCGCAGCGTGCGCGTTGACTAAAAGCCGAATGCTCATGTCTCTCATTCCCCATTCGCAGCCATTGGCATGTACATTGAGCACTATTTTTTATTGTTAAACAACGCACAGAAGAAATTTCTCACTGGCACCACCTTGGAGGTCAAGTGTTATACCTATTTCGGGTATGTGCCACTGGTGGTTACATACGAGGGACGCCCAAGCCACGCCATAAGGAGCTTCGCCCCTAAAACACCTGTTCACGCTGTACGTTGCGCTAATGTATGATGCCGCTCTCCTTCATTTTTTCTCCTTCACTGTTTTCACCAGTTCACAAAGGGTTCCTAATAGATCAATGGCTGAGCACCACTGGTCTAGAATTTCAACCAGTGTTCCAATAGAAAAAAATATAAAGTAAATAAAAGCATGTCACAGACAGACTCCATGGGTACGGAATTGACTTTATACAGGGGGTGTGACGTGCGTGGTCGGCTCCTCTGCTGTTTGTCACAAATGCCGTTTCACAAAAAGCAACAACTAAGAGACTTCTTCCTCTTCTTTATCCCAGTCCTTCATCTCAGCACCGAGCATGAAGTCATCTCGAAGCACTCCCCATGACTGCTGCTTGTCAGATGATGTTTCCTGCAAATACGTAAATTAATGTGGAAAAAGCTCTTGTTTTGCTTGATAACAGCTTTGTGACACTCAAAACTAATCAGCTTGAACAATACACTGTAATATGTAAGCAATGATTGGGTGTTCAAAATGCTTGAGCACTTGATTGTTTATAATGACAGGACGTAATGAAAGATTATCAAAAGTGCTTCTGAAGCATGCAGGTTAGATAGATCCAAGCACTAACCATCGCTCGCACGGTTAACTGAAAAAATCATAGCACCGAGTTCTGTGTAGTGGTATGTGCAGATAACAACACAAGCAACAAGCATTTTAATCTGATAACAACATGACTATGACATTTTGTGCAGTTGGCGCTGATAGCATAGACTAGAACAGGTTCAGACTGGTCCAAATGAACTTTTTAAATATGGTGCCCATTAGTTTGATGAAAATGGGAAACTAATGATGAAAGTTGCAGATGAACACCATAATTGTTTGAGCTCTACTGATGCCACTAGCACTAACACCAGTGACATTGCTGCATGAGGTTGCAGATTTCAGAGTCTTCTGGCGAATTCACAGACATCGCACGTTACATCACAGTGAAGAATGCAATGACAAGGTTTTTAAAAGAAAAATGAAACGTTGCGCAAATGCCAATAAGTGCTGAAAAATAAGTTTTTGTACCTTCTTATCCTTGAGCATATCAAGGAATGCGCCCTTGCTAAAAGACTTCAACACTTTGTCTCGCTTTGTCTCTGACTGACCGGCGGCACGGAGCTTCTCGTCGACTTCCTTTTGATGAGCTTTGACGGCATTAAAGAGCTGTACAACACCTCTGAAAATATGCAAATTGCAATATAAAAGGTGAATTAAACTAACGAAGCACCATCGAAGCAATAATCCACTGAACTGCACTGCACAACTACACACACATGAGCACATGCAGTAGGTACCACAATGTCTGAAGAAGATAACGACGAAGCGACCACTTTTCTACCTACCATGGAACTTTGATTATATGTCCCCCGGTTTCGCCACGACCAGCATTTTACGATGAATAGGTTTGGTCCCGGCAAAATCCCCAAAATAATGTATTAAAAAACCTTGGTTATACGACGCAGCTTTACCCCGACCCCGCATCTTGGGATGACTTTCAGACTCCGTCCTAAAGAAAAAAATCACCTTTACTCGAATGAAATGTTGACCAAATATTCACGAGCGAAAAGTATGAACTTGTGTTCCCCTAGGTTGGCAATTATTAAAGTAGAGAGTGACAGAAGATGTCTTCTTAGAATGAAAAATTTATTCTGCTGGAAGCTCATGCGCTTCTACATACACCCAGATCGCGTGCGTATATCCAGAGTTACCTAGTCAGGCTCTATTCTCACAGAGTAGATTCAGCAAATCGAAAAGCTGATGTTCTCACGTTTCTGGTTCGTGGAAACATTTCCTGGTCATTAACAGTACATTAGTGGGGCTAGTTGGTACATATTAGGCTGAAATACGTGGCGCAAGGTTGCCAAAGCTGTTTGCTGTTTTTTCCTCGCATTTTTTTAAATTTTTCTTGCGCAGGCTTGGGTGTGTTTGGTTTTTTTTTTGACGTCTTAAATCAGGATATCTGTTTGTTGCTGGTTTCCAGATATCATGATTGCAACAATCGTTCATTACATCATCAAAATGTTCATGCCTGCACGTGCGGTGAATGAAATGGTCTGCGCATGTCCTCCAAGAGCCTATATATTGTGAGTGCTTCATGAAAATAAACTTAGTTGTGAGTTGGCGCTCTTTCAGTCTCTTCTCGTTCTTCTCTTTGGCAACCTTGCGCTACATATTTCAGCCTAATTTTCTGGTCAACATACAGCTGATCTAGAGGTGTGCACGGGCTCCGCATAGCCCAAAAGCTCGAGCCTAGACATACCCGCGGACCGTGCTGGGGCAGCCCGACCTCTTTTCACCTCAGGCTCGAGCCGGCTCGGGCTTCCTTGTTAATTTATTGGGCCAGGTTTGGACCTGGTGAAAAGCCCGAGTTAAGCCAAAAATAAAGATTATGTGCCGGAATTGTCCTTGTTCATTTGTGTGCTTTCTTTTAAGGGTAGAAGTGCACTTTTCGTGAAAGAAAAACGTATGTGAAAATTCAGCTCATGATTCAGCTCAGTGAAAACACCAAATTTTGAAACTATAAAAGCCTGCTGTAGGTTTTTTTCCATTGCAGCGACACTCAGCACAAAGTGTTTTATACAGGAAACATCTAAAACATATTCAAATTGCCTTTCAAAGTGTGCCTAAATGGTCATTCTCATAAGATCTATCACTAGCACTACTGACACCTGCATTACTGTGAAAGAAGGGTTAGAGTGACGTGCAATAAGCGATGGCCTACAGCTCCGCTACACTGCACAAGCCTAGATAGTAGTGGCTATGAATAGACATTTGCTAGCTTTTCTCAGCATGTAACGAAACTGGCAAGCTTACTGGCACTGTGCAAACTGCTTCGCATTGTTACACAAACTTGTGAAGGCAAAATTACATCATTTTAGTTTGCTTGTTTGTGCATTTTTTACTTTAGAATATTATCAAGTTATACCAAGTCACCATACCTATAAACGTGAAGGTCTGGATAGGTGGGGCCACCTGGAAGCATTAAGATGAACCAGGCAAGCAACAAATTGTTGTTGTAGAAGTGCAACATATTCCACTTCTCCGCTTGTGTAGTTTTGGTAGTGGCATAGTTCCTAATGCATTATCCTTATTATAAATTATTGTTGCCATGGTCCCTCAGCAAAACAAAGAAATGCACCAATAATTGTTGTGCATGAAGCGGGACAAGATGTGGATATATACATTGATCCGGTACTCCAATACTCGGCAAGCACCTCTGGGTATGCAGGAATGCTGTATGTACTAATATTCTCTACTAGAAAATTTAGAAAGTGTTAAAGGCACCCCGATGGTTGCTCGCATGTGGCGTGTGCAAGAGCCGACGACGCAGCACCAGATGCATCACAGAAATGCCGGCCCATGTTTTCAAGCATCTCACCCAGTGACACCATCGTCAGATTCGGCAACCAGGAACCGAAACCAAAAGTCATTCACGTAAATAAGGCGATAGTATTAAATTACTTGGCAAGAATGCATGAACCTTGGAGCCTATATCATACTTCCTGGTGTAACAAAAAATGTTTGCAACAAAAAAAGCACAAGCCACAGACTCGATGCCGCCACTCTTTTAAAATCTATGTGTTACTGATGCTGGTAAAACATCCATCAAGTTTTCTTGAATAATTCAAAGGGGCGACGCTGTGCCTAATGAGTTTTTTAAAAGTACTTTATTGATATCAACAAACTTCACTGAGTTTATGTATATTTGTGTGCTGATTTCAAATGTGCTACTTGTTTTTTTTTTGCCTAGTACCAATATGTAGTTTCCAAATTGATTGATATGTAAGGTTTAGCGTCCCAAAACCACCTTATGCTTATGAGAGACACCGTAGTGGAGGGCTCTGGAAATTTCGACCACCTGTGGTTCTTTAATGTGCACCCAAATCTGAGCACACGGGCCTACAACATTTCCGCCTCCATCGGAAATGCAGCCGAGTACCTTAGCCACTAGACCACCGCGGCGGGGCGTTTCTAAATTCCAGTACCATTTTAGGAGCCATACTTAGCCTAAAGTGGGAAAGGTACAGAATAAATAAGCACATCACAACGACCTGGAGCTAGAGTTCAAGAAAACAGAGTTCAAGAAAACAGAGTTCAAGAAAACAAGAACAGATGTTCTAAGCCTATTCAAACAAAAGTTGTGGTATGCTGAATATTTGTGACTGAAGTGCCAAGTTGATGTAGACTCATTAGTGAATGCTCAACATGCCACAACTTTCGTTCAAATAGGTTTTTAGCGTATGTTCTTATTTTCTCTCACTCAGTCCTCACCCCAGATTATTCATGTGCTTAAGGGGGGAGGTGGCTTTGAAAAAAAACTTTTTTATTTGTTGACCTACAGCAATGAAATTTGGCATGCATACTCATAAGTGTCTAGAATAGGGAAATATGCAGTTTCATCATGATAGCTTCAGTAGTTCTCAAGTTACATAATGCTACACGATCCAATTACATGGTCTGCTCGTGGAAAGCCTAGCGCTGCAACAAAACATGCCAGGAAGCTGCGAATGATGTTGATCTTTACTCAAAAGAAAGCTACAGGGTATGACATTCTCGGAATTTTTTAATAAGTTTTCGTTTTTTTTTTAGAGATCATCATGGCTGCCGACACACATTGTCAGAAACAATGGCACGGACAAATCATCGTCTAGAAAAATAACAGGGCCACAAAACAGAAATTGAAGATTGCTGTACCCACAAGCAGTGTTCAGGGATTCAGGGAAAAAAAAACAGAATCAAAATCGGTCCAGTCATTCTCGTGCTACTCTTTCCACGAGCAATGCACAATGTCCAAAACACACTTGTGAGAAAAAGCCTGTCGAAGTTTTCGACAGGCTTTTTTTCAATGAACTTTTTTGTTTTCTCGTTGGATATTGATGAAAATTGGCACAGACACTAAGAATAACCTCACAGTGCTTTCATAAAAATTTTGAAGCGATACCACAAATACTTTACGAGAAACAAATTATTTCTTCACTGAACCATGTGGAGGGGCTGAGCATAATGTCAAAAAAAAAAAAAAAAAACAGTATTGAGAAAGCTGCGTTTAAAGTTTCAACTTTTCTTTACGTCTCTAAGACACCTAAAAATTGTGATCTCAGGTTTGTCTTGCGATATTTGACTTCTTTTCATGATTTACTCCTTTTCATGAGTTACAAAGAACAAGTATGAATTTCAAACCAAGTTCTTTGTATGAAGGAGTGGTGTGATAAGTATGACAGAAAAGATTGTAATTGAATAAAACCATATACTGAAATTATTAAACATACTTTTTGTGCTGAAGTTGTAATTAGCGTAATTAAGTACTTGATTAGAAATATTCACTGAACTTTTTTTTTTATTTGGAGAGAAGTTTATTGCATCAGAAAAATGGATCACACCATGACGGCCTATGCCTTCTTTCCAAATAACAAAGTTATGGGCAGAAGACTGGTGGCACGGGAATTTCTAGCAGTATAATTAATGACACGAAACGGGCATATAAAAATTCGTGCCCCTGATTCACACATGCTCTTTCGCCGCTATAGCCGTGAAACGCATAATCATACAGCCGGTCGCGGAAATTCTAATCTACAGCAATTCATCAACCTCGGAACATTCATAGACGTTCGTGGAGATATCAAGCACGGCTCCAAGCACGTCTGAATCGCATCACAAAAGCTTACTGACGGCACTCCATATGACCGCGTGGACAGTGCAGCCGGCGCGTAATGCACTTGCCGGCGGCGTTCGATGACGATCCGCGAAATGAGTAACTACGAAGACAAAAAATCGGCACGCACTGCACTTGGCATCGCATTTTCGAATGACGACGCGCGAAACTGCTAGCCGCTGTTCCGAGCGATCCTTGGCAGTGAAGGGGGGGGGGGGGGGTGACGAGCTTGACTGTGTTGTCCGCTGCCGATGCGTAAAATGCCCGTCCAATATTCGGAGGAGCTAGCGAGTGATGTGGTACATTCCTTGCGAAGAAGCACGTCACCAAGAGTGCGCTTGCGCGTCGTTCCTGCCCGCAGTCTCGCTGTCAGCGGAGTTAGGCCTAAAGCCGACTCCGATGACGCGCCGCACTCGTAGACCGCCGCGCGCCCGCTCGTAGTAATCTGATCGTGCATCCGGTGCGGCCACTCGTAGTAATCAGATCGTGCCGCCGCTTACAGCTTCGTTGCTTGCGAAGAAACACGTCGCCACGAATGCGCTAGCGGGTCGTTCCTGCCCGCAGTCGGCGAAGTTAGGGCTAAAGACGACTTCAATGACGCGCGGCGCTCGTAGACCGCGCTGACGCTCGTAGTAACCTGATCGCGCATCCGCTCACTGCTCGTAACTAAAGCGTAGTTATATCTTAAGTGATTATCAAGCCGTGAACACGTCACGAAGTGGCGATTTTCGAGAGCCATGTCCTCGCGACGCACAAGCAGCAGACGACGATCTCCCGGAGCGAGCATCGGGCCAATGGCGAGGCGAGCTGAGGCAACATGGCGGCCACGGCCAATCAAGGGCCTCAAAACGACCTTCAAACATTTGCTTTTTGCTCGCTTGTTGTTAAAGGGAGGAGCCAGCTGAGGCGGGAAAGTTAAACACGGAAAAATGCTCTTTCCGATGAGCCCAAGAAGCCGGCTCCCGGCCCAAGCATAGCGAAGCTATTATTTTTTGAAAATCGCCGTTTTCTCGCCATTTTCAGAAATATTTTTGCTACCTAGGTGGCTGAAACGAATTTTCCGAAGCACTTCTGCGCGGTTTTCAGTGTAGATATTTTGGAACCAGATAGAAAAAGGGTTCCAGAAACTGAAAACTTGAGTTTCAAAAAATCGATTTTTTTGCCATTTTTCGCGATCCCAAAGCCGCGTCCCCCCTTAAATGCTTTGTAACTCTCTCAGTTTAGGCAAACTATGACTCCCGAAAATGCCATGAAATGTTTGATATTTTAAAAGCTACTCGTTACACTACAAAAATAATTGCATATTTGAAATCTGGGCACAAATATACATAAAAATCTGAAAGTTTCATCGCAATCGATAAAGAATTGAAAAACAAGTTTTAGGACCTAAGTCTCCCCTAAGCTGATAAATTTGAGACAGTCACGTTACAGTAAACCAAAAATATTGCCAATGGTCTGACAATCCAGGAGATGACTTTGGATGAATTGCAAACAGAACTCGGCATGACAGAACTGGTACTGACACATATATTTCTGAAGTTGCAGAAACTCTGTTACACACTTTGCACACGTGTAAGAATGACACAAAAACACTAGAAAAGCTGATAAAAGCCAATCAGATGTTTAAATATTGTTATCATTTTTTTCTGGAATGTCAGATGTGGCAGAATCATCATTATGACGTGGAGCAAAGTTTATTGAAGCTGTGCATGATGATGTTCGAGAAAAAGTGCAAGAAGGTGCGGGACAGACATTATATAGCTCTAAGGACTACCCCAAGTCGCAATGTAAAAAAAAGTATCTCTTTGTCTGTTAAGTCAATTGTCATGCCGATCTTGCTATTATAAAGGCTTTTGTTACACTCGCACAAAAACGCGAACAAGCTAGTTCATTCATGTGATATCAATTTGCAGCAGCATGACTGATAACAACCCACCTGCTAAAGCTGTAAATTCACTCAGCCGTAATAACAACATGTCTTCCGACTCTACATAAGAAGATTTACCGTATTAACATGATTTGAAGTCGACTCGAATGTGTGTCAACCCCCTAAAAACGTACAGACAAAAAAAAAGGCATAAGCACATTTTATAAAAATTTTATTTAGGATGTCCCTGAAGAAAAAAGAAACAGTCGAATTCCGGTGTACCAATGTGGCTTAACGGCAGAGCTTGAAAGTTGTGTGGAAAAGCTAGCTTCGTAAAAATACACGGGAATAATTTTTCGAAACACTTTACAACTGAAACTAGTTTTCGATTCTAGGTCAACCCCTCCAGCGTCAGATTTGAAATTAAAACGAAATCGGCCGACCTACATTCGTGCAAATACAGTAAGTTTCTCACCACTTCATATAAAACCTCTACTCATTCAAATTGTAAATTTTTGCACGGAGGTTCTTTTATCCTATGTGCGCTGAAGCATTGTTTTTCCCACAGTTGGACTTTGAGCCCACGATAACTGGTGTGCAACTTAGCCTCACTCAACATTACAGTAAACACAAGCCACGGCAGTGCTCCTATGTAAAGAGTGAGTTCTCCTACAGCCTCCCTTACGTGTACCAAGATTTCCAATGAACAGCTTTTCCTAAAGCCACAGCAGCCAATACACGGAGAAAACTATATCAGTTAGTGCCTCCCAAGTAATGACTAAAACATTCGAGCAAAATTCTTCTTACCTAGTGGCAATGCTCCTTAACCGTTTTTCACAGTCATCATGCACCGGTTTTATCCGGCTCATTTCCTCCCATTTTCGCCTCTGAAAGTCAAATAGAATTGATACAAGTGAGTCACAAAAACAAAAGAAAAACTCATGAATTTAAATTTTGGAGTAACATCCCTGTTCTTTATCCCAATGGTCGTCCAAGACAGTAAAAAAAAGAGTAAAGCAGCATGGAGCCAACTCCATCAGTAACCGAGGTCCAACTAGATGATATTCCCACAAGACATGCAAAAAATGTTCAATAACCATAAGCAAGGTTAATGGGAAAACTAGGAGTAGGCAATTATATTGTTACGGGATTAGAGACCCAGCACCTCAACCAATATATTACAGGGTTAGAGACTTTTGTACAAAATGCGTTTACAGAAGAAAACACATAGGCAAGAGTCACAATGGCTGATTGGCACCCTCGCGTGCCTATCAGCTGCTTGGGTTCTTCCTCTTCCTTTTTCTTCATCTCCGTGAGAATGTATAACAACCTTAATAGATGAAAAATTAACACACACTACTCAATCATGTACCTTTCAGATGTTCAGCTTTACTCTAGCAGGAAATATAGCACACAAACAACCTTAAGTTCCAATAACATTATTTTGCCAAGCTTGTGCAATAAGAAACTACACTAGTGCTTTGAAAAAGTGACTTATTAGTGAAATTAAAACAAACTGTACCTTACGGTAACTAACCTACGGGTGAAACAGAGTTACATAGAATGTAAACTACAGCTCTATGAATGACTTCACTGTTGTGGAGAGTTCGTTTCCAGTCAGATTAGTTAATGACTCGCTTCAGAATGTTGGACCACAAGCAAGAGACTTGCTTCATTATCTCCCACAGCACGAGTCGAATTAACACTTCATTAGGTCACAGATGAATACATATTTGCATCATGTGAACAATAAGCACTTGCAAATGGTTAAAATGTAAATGGGGTTGCAAACCAACAATCTGCTTCAAAAGCGCAAGAGCACGCTCACACATGACCACACACAAAGCAATGAGACGTGCATGTAAGAGCCAATTTCATACCTGCCTTTTGAATGCATGAGGAAGAATAGCAAGAAGTTGCTCATAAACACGAAAGCCAAACCGTTTTCCTCAAGTTGTATTGCCTTTGATGTCTACCATGATTGTAAAATTTTTTCACTGCAGTAGAGTAAATGAACTGTCATGCCAGCAACCTTGCTGCTGTTATGATAGACAAGCTGATGTCATGCAAACATTTATGTTAACTTTGCAACATCTCCAGTAAAGCCTAACAAAGCAGAATAGCCAGTTAACGTCAAGGTGCTTCGCACTATGTCGATTCCTATAAAACAGAATATCTCCACAATATTGAATTGCTTATTTCTCAAAATGGGCATATCCTGTACGGCCCATAATGTCTTGAACATAAAACCCTTCAAGCAACTCTGAATGTGACAGTTATCAAGGCACACATTCTAAAAAAAGATTGAGTAAAAGAGTTTCTTTTAGTCCCACAACAACAACCATCCGGTTTGCTTACACTTCTTTTTCTTGAAAACTTGGCCCTGGCCACTTTCAATTCAAGAAATCTATGTCACGGTGATAATGCACAAGTAATTCGTGAACTGAAAGTGCCGAGCATGCGGCGACAGAGCAAGAAAAGGAACGCAAGATAGATGAAAAGTATTGTTGTGAGACAAAAAGACGACCTTCATACTCAATTTTTTTCTTTGAGTGCAGAAGCATTCAACCGTGCGACCCAATAAAATCAAAAGAGCAGGTCAAACCTTTTCTTTCCTTTCCCGAATTTCTCGCCTGGAAAGAAACTCTGGTTCATCGGGTAGTTTTTGTGTCTCCTGTTCCTTGACTTCCCCTTCCTCACCCACAATTTCAAGGACAGTGGTCGGCTTCTGGCGCTTCTGCTGTCCGTCCTTTTTCGCTTTGAAAAGAATGGGAGTCTTCGTCCTCGGCTCCTTTGTACGCAGTAGCTTGCTGAGCACATCGGCCCAGGCCTCGTTGCCTTCGGCTGCAGACTCATCAGACCCACTGGCCGGATCTGGCTGCTGTTCTTCAGAGCACTGATCAGATTCATCATCTATGAAAGATGAGGGGAAACAAGCCATATTCACATGAATTGAATGGATGAATGGCAGTATCACCAAAAAAGAAACAAATTGAAAATCACACTTGTATCTTGAATCCATCTTGACATGATCTATAAGGCACATATTTAACTGAAATGATAGAAACCTAATAAAGTGAACTTGACTATTTAGTTAAACATTTTAATCAGGAAAAAAATGAATACCAAACAGAGGAATGCACCACACAAAGTGCTGTGTGTAGAGTGTAGTTTATTACTCTGCTCCATCTTTGTTCTCACTGTACCGTTTAAAAACTTAGGATGAAAACCTACCCTCGTTTTATGTGTGGTGCTGAAGCCCGTTTAAAGAGACGCTTCAAGTTGACCTGCTTCATTAAGAACAAGGCATACGTATCGACACCGAAATGTAACTTCTCTCAACCTTTTATTTGGTAGGCGTACTTTCTTTCATCTCATAGATCTGAATTATATGAGGCGTATATGAAGACATGTTAAAGAAGGAGCAAGTGAAACAGTAGCAAGAAACACTGTGCTGAGGAGCCTGCTCATAGGAAAAGGCCAAAGTGATGACAAATCGTTGAACGAAGATTGTCACAAGAGCCAAGGTTTCTATATTAGGACCCATCTTCAAAGTGCATATTGTTATAAGACAATATCACACTGAAACAGCGAGAGAGAGACGCCAAGAAAGACAACATGATTTTGGTGTACAGCATGTGCTTTTATCATCCATCCTAGCTTACCCTTCAACATTGTGCAAATATATCGCAAAATGTGCCTTGTTTCTTTGGGTGCCTTAACGCAACAATATGCTAGAGCGTGTTGGTAATTCATGTTCCCTTTTATGGTGCACAACAAAAACACTAAAAGAAATCACTGTGTCTGTGTTGGTCATCCTTGTTGCTATTGTGTGCTGTAACAGAGAACGTGAAGTGGCCTTTGCCTTCATCATTTCTCGTAGTTTCATGTACTCATGCTTCCTTCATATCTGTTGTCTTGTACACATGAAGCGAGGCACGCCAATACACACACTAAAGCGCTCTATCAACTCGCCCTTGCTGAAAATGGACGTGTCTAGTAAACACCGGCGTAGCGGAGGGGGCTCTTCCCCTCCTTCCGCCATCTGACTGAATTTTTTTTAATTTCGCATGAGTACATGCACAGGCACACACACAAATGCACGAACATACATAAAGTGTAATACCACCCCTCCCCCCTCCCAAGATTTTTTTTTTTTTGCTCCACTACGAAAACGCGAAGCAACTCGGCGTACCTCATCGTACTGCCTAGATCTTCCTTGTTCTACAACACAGATATTTCACTAACACGCTATTTTGTAGTATCGCCGATAGTGCTTTCAGCAAACGCTCATCGGCTCATAAGCTCCGCAGAGTGTACTGTCAACATGCCCATGAAGTAGCACGGGTATGAAGTAACGACGACGATCGAGCACGCGTGTGAGGAGACAATGTGGCTATCTGGGCTTGCATGTATGTAGTACGTGTTTAAAAACCATAAAATCTCGCTAGAGAACACGCCACAAGGAACAAACATGCGCTACATGTTGTAGTGTGAGCTTCTACTGTACGACGTCGTCTCCAGTGCGCTCTCACCGTTCTCAAACAGAAAACCATCGAGTGGAGCATCATAGACGTGACTGCCACCCTACACTTGTGATACAGTAACTCTGATATGAAAAGGTAAATGTCACGTATGGTGCTCTAGTTGAACGAATAAGACTTCTTCCAGCACGGTGTGAGAACTGACGTCTAGATAGTATTCAGGATTACCGTAAAAGCTACGCTGAACTAGAATTCACTGCGGCTAACTTGCTCGATTAGCGCTAGCAGGCAGCGTACGTATATGCCACATTGTAGAGGGCTACAACAACATAGGTGAAACCCTAGCTGTTAATTATTAATGCCTGTCATAAAACAGCCCTTCCGATGTAATGCATTAATTTATGATGCGTAATTTGCATCGTACAAAAATTTTACGCTTACCTGAGCTGCGCGCAGCCATGTTTCTCAATGTAGCCAGCATATATTTTATTTGCAGCTTAAAGCAGTAATTGCGTACTGACAATCACTAAGGACGCAAAATGTTTTTATTATGCTTTTAAAGACCTAAGTTTCTATAACCTGTATGTAAAAGTGTATCATTTATTAGTTTTGTTTTTGTGTTTAAAGAAAACATTGTGTATTTTTGGCGGGGTATTTAACCGTTTTTAGGGCAACATGATGGAGGGACGGACGGTTGAAGGATAAGGAATAAACGATTATTTTTCGAAACGGTGTGGCGGTGTAGGTTCCGCGTCCACCTTAGGTGGGAGGTCTCCTCATTTCTCAAAGCAGGCAATACGCATCATCGCTTCCACGTCCACACAATCTTTCCCATGCCGCTGCATTGCTCCGCTCATACAATATATTGCCGATTATTCATTTGTTTCAATTCAACATAGTTGTATTATTCTACAAACAACTTCATAACAACTTGCCTCTTCCATTTATGTCGCGTGACTCTTTACACAATAAAACGTGACGAGATTTGCAGCTAACATTTTTTTTGTTACCCACAGTTCATAGTAATTACGGCAAAAAAAAAAAAAAAAACATCGGCGTTCACTGCAATTTCACTTTGGAATGATTGGCCTACAGCCATCAAATCTCGTGTTTCCGAGGCTGCCTTCAAAAATGACCTCAAACACCACTATCTTGCCTAAGTGTAACATGTCATATCTCTTTTCAAATCGACTTTTTTCCCCTCATTACCTGTACCTTTTGTTTTCTCTTGATACGCTTATTCATGTTCCACTGACATAATTGTAAACGCTTTAAATTACTTGTTTTGATTTTGCTCCATATTCCGTTCTTTTGCTGTACTAGTCATTACGCTCTGTATATGCATAATTAACCAAGGGTCCCACTGCAGTTTCTTACTTTGGGACCCTTGCCTGTATATTGTTCATGTTGTAAAATCTTGTTCTGAAAGCAATAAGCTGAAGCTGAAACTGAAATCCTCTGGCCTTCGCTGCCTCCTTGGCCCTGGCGACGAGACGTCGTTGTTGGTCCAGGTCCTCCAAGGAGAGCTTGGCCTTCCACGTTTCGAGAAGGTGTTCGTTTTCTGTACCAGCATCGCATGCGTTCGGCGGAGGCGATAGACTTGTATTTGTATTGCATGGACACTCGAGGGTCCGGTAGGGCCAACGTGTCAGGTACGTCGCAAATCGGGCAAACTTATTCATGTAATGTTGGGTACAATCGGTGCATTAATATGCCGTGTGTGTTATGTGTTGCTCTGCAGTCATCTCAATATGGTGCTCTCCTCTTTGTCGAACTTCGAGTGTGGTGGTGGATACTCTCTGCGCGCCAGCCTATGGTGTTGCAGTATTGCAGAGTAAGTGTTTGGTACAGACTCAGCCTCCGCGGACACAGTCCTGGCGTCTAGAAAGCGGGAAGGGGTAGCCCGGTAGGCGTGATCGCGGGCCGCGGCATAAACCACTTTGTATCCCTCCAGCCCTTCGGGCCCAGGAACCCATGTCACACAGGTGAACAGTATCGGAGTGATTCGGTGCTTCAATATCTGAATTGCTTGGGTAGACACACGACCTTTGCTTTAGTTTCGCATGGCTGCTTGAGAGTCTGTGAATACCACAGCTGCATCCAAGCACGTTGTGGTAGCTAGGTCAATTGCCGCCTCCTCTGCAGTTTCTGGGCTTCGGGTGCGTACTGTGGCAAATGCGAGCACTGCGCCCCGAGTATCAACGACGCTCAAAGCGTAGGCGTCTCTACCAATATACTTGGCTGCGTCTGTATATCTGGCGTCCGGATTTTGGCTGTGATTTCGCCGTAGAGCATTCACTCGTGCCTGCCTTATTTCCTTGTGACGTGGGGGCTGCTTATTGCGAGGGATTCGTGCAATACAGAAAGACTCGCGGATGTTTTGCGGAATCCGTTCTTTTCGGTCCGCGTCTGTGTCGCCTATAAAGGTTTCGCTATAGTTCATCGTTGTAGCACTGATCTTCCAGTGGGCGAGAGCTTTAGTCGTTCTAGCTGACTAGCCCTGTGTGCTTCGGACGGTTGAAAAAAAAACCTTTTTTAAAAAGAAGTACTGCATAGTTACCGGCCCGGACTCAGACCACCCGGACGTTAAGTGCGGTGAGGCATAGCCTTTCCAACGCTGTACGAATCCACTAGATTGGCCACAGTTAGTCGTGCAGATCTGAGATTTGAACAAGCCAGTGCTTAACCACCACTCCTCGAGAAAGCCCGGTCCAACGTTACTAATGTTGGCCCGGTATTTGGGGGTATTGCCATAGTATGGATCTGCGTGTTCGTGCTTACGGAGCTCACAATTGTCTAGAATTTCCTCTGTTCAAGTGTACTAGATTTATAAAGGTTCTGGTTCGCAATCTGCTGCTAGAGATTTTTCAACCTGTTTGTGAGGGGAGCGCAAGCCCGTAGCTAGGCGGTGGAAGGGGGGGGGGTCTCAGAGGCTTGCCCTCGCCCTCGAAATTCTTATGCAGGGGTATTGCGAAATAGATATTGCGAAAACAGGTGTTCTTCGAAGCTTTCGACGAACACCCTCCCCCCCCACCCGCGAGGAGGAGGAGGAGGAAAGAACTTTATTCAGAGTCCGGCGAGTAGATTGGGTGGGCGATTGGCCCCGCCTAGGTTACGGCCAAGAGTCCTTGAATCCTGGCGGCTTCCTCGGCCCGCTGGACGGCCCACATTTGGTCTTCGAGGACGGAACTGAGCATTGCGGCTTCCCAGCGCGCGCGAAGGCTGTCAGCAGGGGCCGCATACTTGTTATGAGTACTAATCCCTCTACATGCCCATAACATATGCTCCAGAGTGGCTCTGGAGTCGCAACGCTTGCACCTGTCCGTTTTGTATATATCAGGATATATTATGTGCGATAGCGCCGGATTCGGATATATCCTAGTTTGTAACTGCCGCCATTCGACAGACTGTCTTTTTGTTAATTTTGGGTAAGGTGGCGGGAATATGCCCCTCTGTAATCTATAATGCTTTGTAATTTCATTGTATCTGGTCATTCTGTCTTCCCACTCCCACTCGTCTGCCACGCCGTAATCACCGGAGGAGGTTGGGGCGGCACTTGAGAGGGCAGCTCGGTCGGTGAGCCCTCGAGCTGCGTCATGTACAGCCCCATTGTTGCTGTCTCCCGCGATGGCATGAGCAGGTGTCCATATAATATATGTATTTCTGGGGCTTGTTCGACACCCTCCTTTGAGAATACGTAGTGCCTCCGGGAAGATGCGGCCGTTGGCAAAGTTTCTCACTGCCGTTTGAGAGTCACTGACTATCACGGTTGCGTTTGTCTGAGCTACAGCGAGCGCTATGGCTACCTCTTCCGCTGTCTCGGTACTTGTGGTGCGTATCGTCGCGCATGTCATACAGCGTTTGTTGCTATCGATTATGGCTGCGGTAAACCCCCGTTTGCGCTTGTATCGAGCAGCGTCTACGAAAACTGCGTCCTTGTCATTACCGAACTTTTTTTGTATTTGTTTTGCTCTTGTCTCTCGTCTAGCTTTATTGTGTACGGGGTGCATGTTTTTTGGCAAGGGTGGTATCATCATTGTTTCCCTGGTCTCTTTTGGAATGTCCACCTTAACGCCGTGTTGCGTGTGATACGTTATACCTAGTCGCTCTAGAATATGTCTTCCTGCACGTGTCTTAGAGAGACGTTCATATTGCGCCGTACGCTGCGCCTCAATAAGCTCATCTATTGTATTGTGCAGGCCTAGCTGTAACAGTTTGTCGGTGCTTGTGCTAATCGGTAGCCCTATAGCTAGTTTGAATATTTTTCGAATGAGGCAGTCTAGCTTGATCTTTTCCGCGACTTGCCATTTTAAGTATGGCGCTACGTATACTATTCTGCTAATCACGAATGCCTGTATCAACCTTATCGTGTTTTCCTCCCGCATGCCACTGTGCTTAGTTGCTATCCTTTTTATGAGTCTCATTATTTGGGCTACAGTTGCATCCAGTCGCCTGAGGATTTCTCCATTGTTGCCCTTGGCTTCGATGAGCAGACCCAGTACTCTGATCCTGTCGACTATGGGTATGGTTTTTCCATCGGCTGTTCATAACTGTATTTCTGCTCTATGAGCAAGACCTTGCAGGCAGTTGCCTGGTTTGCGACCTCTACGAGTAGGTCTGTACAGCAACAGCTCTGATTTTTCCGCAGAGCAGACTAGCCCAGTACCTTCCAGATACCGCTCGACCGTTTCGACTGCTGTTTGAAGCGTTTCCTCTATTTCGCCATCACTACCACTTCTCACCCATAGGGTGATGTCATCTGCATATATAGTATGATTCAGTCCTTCGATTGCTTGGAGTTTGGTTGGCAGTCCAATTAGAGCCAGATTGAATAACATAGGTGATAATACCGAGCCTTGCGGCGTACCTGCACTGCCCATCTCAATTTCCTCTGAAACTAGGTCCCCTATCATGATCTTTGCCTTCCTTCCCGTCAGGAAATTACGCACGTAATTGTACGTCCGTTGTCCCAGATCTAGATCGTTTACCCTTTTTAGCACCGTTGCATGGGTTACATTATCAAAGGCCTTCTTGAGGTCTAACCCTAGACCTAGAATGGCCTTTGTCGCTGTTCCCGGATTATCTATAATCTGATGTTTTAACTGTAGCATTGCGTCTTGCGTTGAGAGGTTCCTCCTGAACCCTATCATTGTGGGTGGAAGCGCATCCCGGTCCTCTAGATAGGTAGTTATCCTCTCCAGAATCACGTGCTCCATGAGTTTCCCCACGCAAGATGTGAGAGATATGGGTCTCAAGTCCGCAATCTGCACTCGCTTGCCTGGCTTGGGTATTAACACGATTTTTGCCGTCTTCCATTGTTGCGGAATCTGTCCTGCCTTCCATGATTTGTTAATGAATTCAGTTAACTTAGTTATGGACTCGTCATCCAAATTGCGTAGCGTTTTGTTAGTTATGCCATCTGGTCCAGGTGCTGATCTAGTATTGAGTTTTTGCAAGACGGCCCTCACTTCTG